ACACGCACGCACACACATACACTTACACACACACACATACATACGCACACACATACACACACACTTGCACACACTCACACACACACACTCGCACACACTCACACACACGCACGCACACACATACACTCACACACACACACACTCTCGCACACACTCACACACACGCACGCACACACATACACTTACACACACACACATACATACGCACACACACACATACACACTCGCACACACTCACACACACACACACTCGCACACACTCACACACACACACGCACACACATACACTCACACACACACACACACACACACACTATCGCACACACTCACACACACGCACGCACACACATACACTTACACACACACACATACATACGCACACACACACACACACTCGCACACACTCACACACACACACTCGCACACACTCATACACACGCACGCACACACATACACTCACACACACACACACACACTCGCACACACTCACACACACACACTCGCACACACTCACACACACGCACGCACACACATACACTCATACATACACACACACACTCTCGCACACACTCACACACACGCACGCACACACATACACTTACACACACACACATACATACGCACACACACACACACACACACACACACACACACACTCGCACACACTCACACACACTCTCGCACACACTCACGCACACGCACGCACACACATACACTTACACACACACACATACATACGCACACACACATACACACACTCGCACACACACCCACACACGAACGCACACACATACACTTATAGACACACACATACATACGCACACACATACACACTCGCACACACTCACACACACGCACGCACACACATACACTCACACACACACGCATACTTACGCACACACACACACACACACACACTCGCACGTACCTCCTGTAGTGCAACCATTCGCTTTGGTCCATCCTCGCTTGGTGCCTCCGATGCTTGGAGCACGCGTAGCATGTGCATTCGCACATCGTGCTTCACAATTTGAGGGATAGGATCTCTCTTGTTGCCTGCACGGTACGCTCGCTTCACGAGAGGTTGATGGAGATACTCGTACATGTTGGCGCTGTAATGCATCGGCACCCCCGATCGAATGATGTCCTCCACCACGTGTGCCAATGAATGCACTTTGGTGATGTCAAACTCAGACTTCTGAAGGCCTGCAAAGACTTCCTTCAAGAGCGGAATCAACCTGTTGGTGGGTATGGCACACATGAAGAACATTGAAGAGACAAAACTCAATGGGCACGAAAAAAATAGTAACACGAGACGTCGCAACACATTGGCAAGCATGGAATGCAAGGTATGAGAGACATCGAACAAGAAAGAGAACAACACAAGCAACCATGCACAGTTGAGAAAGATGCTTACCTCTTGATGGCCTCATCAAGCTCTTGTAACGTCTTCGAGGTATGATACCAACGCCGGGCTGCGAGCATGTAGCAATCTACGAATGCTGCCACCGCACCAACCACCGAGTTCGGCACGCCGCAATTTGCAAGCACGATCGTGATCACTTGCATCACTGCGCGATGCTCAAACGCCTGAAACCGTGCAGCACCCGCAAAGTAACCACCCTTCTCGGAAGATGGGATACGGAAACCCGAGATTCGGGTGTCGGTCGCAATGCGCTGCAACTCGGTGTCGAGGGAACGCATAAAGTCGCGATCTCGTGCGTAATACGCTCGAATGCAGGAAACGATGTGCAAGAAGACACCAAGGTCCATCGCGTGCATCACCTCGACAAGTAAGGCTCGGTATGGATTGCCGACAGGGGTACGTCCGCCTCTGAAGCCCCACAAGGCTACCTGCGCGGGGGCGAGTAAGTGAAAAAATGTTAGCACACACTTAATTTAACCCATACAACCAAGACAGAGAAACGCATGCACGCAGATTCTTAGAATAACGACACACGAACTAAAGAGGCACAAACAGACGCGCGTACACACACAAATACGCACGCAAAACGTATGGACGCACTCGCAAACCATACGTACCTTGATGGGATGGGTGTTGATTGATTTTGATGCCTTGTTCCGCTCGGGCCCACTCGGCAACGCCAACAACGCCTCAACTTTATCGCCCTGATCGACTTCCGTGCGATATTTGACCACCGCCTCCATGTTGCTTATGTCTTCACGTTTCACGAGACACCTGTGGCACGGGAACATCGCCTTGTGACTTGCAAACGTCCCCGCCAGCTTGCACGCTTCCGGGTGATCAGCCACATATGCGTAGACAGCGGGAAATACCACTTGCGTCTGCCCAAAAGGGTCTTCTATTACAATGCCACTATGTGGGTAGAAAAGGGTGATGAACATAGGAAAGATACAATTATAAGGGGAGGGGAAGTGGATTTGCACATGAGGTGAGCAAGAAAAAACTCATCGTAGCGATAAAGCATACTTGCAACACACACACCCACACCCAGTAGAATGAAAAGCACTCACCCGCACACTCAATAGACACTCACTCGTAAGATGCCTCTTTGAGCTCTTTAAGAACCACATCCAAAGCCAGTTGGAATACCTCCCGATGAAGCGCCTTCCCCTCGTCCGTCCTCGAGTCCACGTTCGGAAGTGGCGGAAGCATAGCAACCATCCGATGCCCGTGTGGTTGCCAACGATTCTTGAGCGTGACGTTTCCAAGTGTGAAATATACCGGATGTCCCGTAACACGCCCATCGTTGCTCAAGTTTGTCCCGTCGCTGTACAGGATGCACGCTGCAATTACACCACCCCTCGGGCATTCTTCTTGCATGTTAATCCATCCATCTCCCGTCTCGGGCCCCGCGTATATCCGCTGCTTCTTGTCGGACGTGTAGACTGCTGCCGGTTTCACCACAAAGCCGTCTCTGTTCGCGTTGTCCGAATACATCGCCACCAATGCTTCGACTATGGAGGTTACGTGCACAGTAGCTTTCATGCCGTTGCTCAACTCCACCTCGACAGCTCTCCATTCCACCGTGCCCGTAGCCTTCGCAAGTAAAGACTTTTCGTACTTTGCCAAGCCAGCACTGTTCTTGTATGATGGCTTCATTTAACCGGCCTCGTGCAAAACGCTTAGTAGAGTATTAATGTCAGTTGCCGACATCCCCATGCCTCCATTAAAACCTCGAATCGCCTTCGCCAAAGCCAGGTCTGTGTCAAATGGGAGCATCTGTGGACTAAGATCTGCCGTTGCATCCGTTGTTGAGAATTCTATGTCATCACCGTCGCCGTCGCTGTCATCCGACGTCGGAAAGTCAAACGGGGGAGGGTTCACACTGGTTTGTGCAGATGGTGCTCCGCTAGTGGTCAAAGGCGGACTTGCTGCGGCACGCGGAGCAACTCGTGCACGCAGCAGCCGGTTCACGTCATTAGCTCGTTTGCGCTTTAAACCCTCTAGAATCCGTACATTTGCACTCTCTGACGCAGTTGGGCGGTTTCTACAAAACAGTTTGTGATTAATTAAGCCCTGTCCAATAGCGCAGGTGAATCCACAGGCACATGTAAACTCCATTATCAAAAATAGGGATACAATGATCTATAGCACCCTGTGGTGCAAGCTTGGAGAACAACTACAATAGTGAAAAATAACAAGCCATTTCTAACATATATGGTCTTCAACAACATCCCCTGGACCTGCATGCAAAGGCCATAGAACACAAACGGTCATGGCCCTCAGTGGCAAGAGGGGGCAAATCTGTGGCTCTAAAACAAACATGGCAAAAAAAAGCCACAAAACACTAAAAACGGTACTGACCCCACTAATCCCTCAAGCCGCGGCACTTTCGCGCAATATACCACGCGTCGGCACGCGGCGCATCCGATGGTACGGCGACGAAGTCGCTATTTCTGACGGGCCGACCCTAAAACTAATGAACCCGAAACCAAAACGGAATTACCCTCGCGGCCCGCGGATCTGCAACAGCGGGACGCAACTGTGAAAGTGTACGCCTTGTCGGCACGCCGCGCATGCACTGGTGTGTCGTCGAAATCGCGTTTCGGGACCTGGGCGTCCCTAAAATTAGTACATCTAAAAAATTGAGCTCGGCCCGCGCCCACGATCTACCCTAAGCTGGACGAGCACCCGTCTGGCATGCGGTACGAGGCAAAGAATGGATGGCGAGGCGTCGTTTCCTAAAAAAAAAAACCGCCAAACTCGGGTAAAACGGGCGGTTCCAGCGAGTTTAGCGGGTTCCTCGAAGGCGCCATGGCGGGCTACTTATTTACCACAACGATAATAATGTGCACTTCGAGTGAGGAGGGAAATGAAGGGGCTGGAGGGGAACGGCCGCATGATGCAGGCACCGATAAAAATTGCGCAAAAACGTTCTCAACCGCGTTCCACACCCTTCGGCCCTAACTGCCACGGCGACAAAGCAAAAAGCTACGTGCCGTTTTCGCACGTAACATGGTGTGCGACACCGTCATCATTCTGGTCCAGATGGATGTTTCGCGCGCTGAAAACGAGCCGTCCGAAGGGATCATTCACCTGGTTACCGCTACGGTCATTCGCCAACGGTAAAAGTTATGGTAACCGTAGGCGTACGCGTTTTCGTTTCTTCATGCAAAATTACAAGCGATTCGCATAACATTGACGTGTTCATATTCAGTCTTCACCATTTTTTTACAATATTACTTCAGCGCGGAGTTCTACACACCACCGCACCGAATTTCACCGAGCGGTGTTCATCGACCCAACGGGATGAGTTTTGCACCAATTGCCCGCTAACTGGTCCGTGACCGCACGAATCGAAATTAGGGTAACTGCGGGAGATCGCAGGCAGCTCGGAAACAGAGGGCAATTAGAAAAAAACACCGCAAGCAAACTGCAGGGATGCGATATCGCCAAGCTTACCGCCGGCTGTTTCCCGGCGAACACCTGCAGAGTTGCGATGATACTCATTCATTCCTTTCAACCAACCAGCCTGAACGATGGCGGGTGCGCATTTCCTTTCGACTACATTGGCATTATGGGTGATACTAGTCGTGCTGATGGCTCTCAATCCGACAACTTCTTAATCTCCGGGGCCGGAAAATTTCAGTGGTCGCTCGACTGTGACTGGGTCGGCAACGACATAGGCCGAGCGGCCGGCAAGGGCGAGACGTGCGGACAGCAGTGCCTGAGCCGCGCGGATTGCACGCATTGGACGTGGAGCGAGCGCCTTCAAAGGCAGCACGTGCTGGCTCAAGGGGGCCATCAACGCGACAGAGCTGGTCCCCGCCACTGGCACGTCGTGTGGTTACCGCGTTACCGACAGCGCGACCGGCAACCCGTACACGGCAGTCCAGCAGTACCTCAACCCGGGGTACGCGGCGAGCGTGAATGCCGCGGTGCGCGCCGCGCTTCCCTCGAAAGCGCCGTTTTTCGCGAGCGTGGCGCAGTATGCGACGGCTCTGTGGCTCGACACGATGGCTGCCCTAGATCCCATCCCCGGCCACCTGAGCGACACGGCGACTCAGGGGGGCGGCAAGGCGATTCTCGTGCAATTCGTGATCTACGACCTCCCGGGCCGCGACTGCAAGGCGTGGTCGTCCAACGGGGAGATTCCCAAGGGCGGCCTCGACACGTACAGGTTCAAGTAAATCAATGTTGCCGTGGCGCGCCTCAAAGCCAAGGCGGCGAACGTGCGTCTGTCGCTCGTGATCGAGCCCGACTCGCTGCCCAACATCGCGACGAACATGGGGACGAATCGGTGCGACGCGACGACGGAAAAGGAGTACACGGAGGGCGTCGCCTACGCCATCGCGAAGCTGTCGCAGATCCCCGACACCACGCTCTATCTCGACTCCGGCTTCGGCGGCTGGCTCGGTGAGTGCGTATGCCTGTGATTCATTTCAATGCTGTAATCTATTCCGTTCCAGAACGGCCGTTTCTTCCTCCACTTTCAACCTGACTCATCACTTCACACTTCTCCCCACAACACCTTCCCCCGTCGCGTGAGCAGGGTGGCCGGAGGGGATGAAGCGCGTGGTGGCGGTGTACAGGAAGGTCCTCGCGCGCGCGCGGCAGATCCGCGCGAACGCCAAGATCCGCGGCTTCGCGTCCAACGTGGCCAACTACAGCCCGCTCTTCGCGACCGGCTGCCCGGCGCTGGAGAAGTGCCCGCTTGCCAAGAACCCGAGCACGGGCGAGATGTGCTACGAGTGGAACCCGTGCATCGACGAGAACCGGTTCACGGCGCGCATGAATGCGTACCTGGGAGCCGCGGGACTGCCGACCAGGTGGATCGTGGATACGAGTAGGTCCGGCCGCGCTGGCATCCGCAACCGCTGGGGGTCGTGGTGCAACGTGAAGGGCGCGGGGATTGGACAGCGCCCGGCGAATCCCGCTAACGCTCCGCAAGGTGAGCACCCTTGCTTTTTTTTGCTGCTGCTTTTGTTCTCTTCTCTTCTCTTCTCTTCTCTTTTCTTGGCGATCCTGTTTCGGAATGGCGTTTCCCGAGGGGCCCTCGGGTGGTCTCATGCGGTTCCCTCCACTTTCCCGCACACCTTTTTCTTGCCTGCCCCGTAGTCAGGCCCCTAGATTCGTTTTGAGGCATGCTGACGGCACAGCGTGCATCCCTCCTAGTACTCTGTCTGTCAGTGTTGCTTCAAAATTTTAGGCTGGAGATTCAGGGACACACAACTTTCCAAGGCTGAACAAACAGCGTTATCTTGAAATTTTTGACTGATCATGCAGGAATGTAAAGCTCTCTGTTATAAACATTCCCTCACATTCACATATCTGAATCAGAGTCTGACTGATAACGTTCTACAGAGGCACGATCAGCTACTGGCTCCTCCTCTACATGCTCCTTGCCAGCTCTTGGAGGGTCCCTATGTCTTGCAGCAGGTGCTGTGACTGGACGGCGCTTCTTGTAGTTGCGCCACACTTTAACTACTCCTGGCAAATCTAGCTCGTAGTCTAGTAATGACATGCACAACAAATCACTTAGCCTGCAGTCCTTGATACTGCCTCTTTGCCACGGTTTGATGAGGTTCTGTCGAGAGAAGCCTCTCTCGCACTCAACAGTGCTGAGAGGCAACACTGCTACCGCCACCCAGAGGTTGACAAGGTTGGGGTATGCCTGCTGCCAATTGGGAATCTTGAGGATGGCTGCCAGTCCCGAATGGAACTTCCTCTCGATCTTTGGAGCTTTGGCCAAGACCGGGCAAAGAGTCCTCAACTCTTTGACCGCCCGCTTTTTGTCAATGCCTGTGATATAAGTAACAATGGGGAGGGTATTAGTTTAATACGAGAGGGCAAGTGTCAAGCGTGTTCACCGAATGACCAAGCAGATACTAACCTGGCAGAATCTCGGGCGAGTCGTCGGCGTGAAACAGAGTGGCGAGCGACAACGGCCACTCCTGACACTGAGCCTGCCTAGCCTGCCGATCCCAGTTCGGTGGCCACATGTCCGGGATGAAGAGGCGCACTCCAGCCAGCGAGTCGAGGTCACCAAGCTTTGACTAGAGATTGTTGACAAGCAGCTCGGCCATGTCGGTGCAGAGTGCAATACAGGCGTCATGATGGCCGGGTCCAGGGTAGTCCTTGTTTTTGCGCTCGTGAAGGTCGAAACGCAAGCGGTTCATGCTGCCGTCCGATGAGGCACCTTCCACCACCATCTGCGGCAACCCTTGTGGCCCGTGCTTGGCGATGAACCGATACAGATGCTCGCTGGTGCCGCCGCCGAAATCATTGTTAACGGGAATGGAGTGTTGGCCCCGCCCTCGCTTGGGCAACGCCGACAACTTGGTCGGATGTACGGGAGTAGCAGCCGACCGCTCACACTGGGATAGCTGCTCGACAGGTTACGTCGAGCTGCAGCGGACCGCTATGGTGTTGCTGTCGACCAGGGTGCTCGACGGCTGCACCTGACTGGCCTGGGCGACGGGTGAGCCGTCCGGGAGGTCGACGAAGCAGTCCGTCGACCTACAGTTCGACGGGGAGGTCTATGGAGCATCCCGTCGAACTGCAGCTCGACCGGGAGGTCAACGGAGCGTCTCGTCGAACTGCAGCTCGACCAAGAGGACAACAGAGCATCCCGTCGAACTGCAGTTCGACCGGGAGGTCGACGGAGCAGTTCTGGTCGACGGAAGGGGTCCGTCGACCAAGGGGTAGCTTGACGGGAGGTGTGGTCGACCAGGAACGCCCGGTGGTCGACCAAAGGGACCCAGTGGTCGACGGGAGGCACCTGGGAGTCGACCAGAGCACCAGGGGTCGACCAGGTCGACCGGGTAACCTGCTCGACGAGTTCTGCGGAGGCACGCGAACGTCGTCAAGATCGCGATGGCGCAAGCGACTTCGGGCTGGTATCCCGAAGTCGATGTGGCTCGTCAGGCGCAGACAACAGCCGACGGATGCCCAACGAGGCAAGTCGGGCCAATCGTCCGCGCACACCTGCGAGCGCGCGCACTGCTGTGTTCTACGGGGCACGCCGTCGACCTGCTTTGTTGGCAGGTCGCCCTTCTGCAATGCGGGCGCGGCTTCTCTACGCAATGCTGGCAGGCGGTCGACCGAGCTGCGTTGGCGGTCGACCAGGCTGGCTGCAGGGTTGCTAGGTGCGTGATGTAGTCATTGTTGTCATTGCTTCTTGTATCATTCTAGAATTCCAACTTTGCTAGTGGAAACTCTTGCCAAATCCTTCCGTGAGTGTGCAAACACTAAGGAACTAAGCAAAGCTAAGATCACCTCTAGTAGTTCGTGCCAACCCCTGTAGTCTAGCTCACTACCGTTGTAGAGTTAATCTCCGCATGGTGCGGTGAGCGTGGATCGAACACGCGACCTTCAGATAGGAGCCGACTTTTGCAATCGTAGGCCGGCAGCAGCGATAGTTGCCATGGTCGGCCCCGTAGTTGATGCGGGCGTAGCGGACACCTTGGAGGCACGCTTGGCTGACGCGAGGAGACGCCACGCGAATGGCGAGTACGGGACGATCCCCTTGGTGATCGCCGAGTTGGGCATCCGATCGCAGTGGGCGACGGAACACCCTTCCCGTCCTACTTCTCCCCGACCGGTGCGCAACGAAGGTGGCGTCGACGACGATGTCGACGGTGGTGCACGAGTCAACGGCAGCGAAGGCACGAGGCAGAGAGGAGTGATCAAAGTTGACGGTGGTGCCGACGGAATCCAGGCGCGAGTGCAGCGGTCGACGGCCACTGCAGGAAGCTCGAATGCCGACGTCGATGTTCGACGCCATTCTCCTCCACGATGTGGTGGAGGGCTCTCGGTGATGACACATGTGACAGCGGGCGGGATTGCACCGGCGTATGGCTACTTCAAGTTCTCGCCGGACCGGATCGCTGTCGCTCTGCTGCAAGGTCGACGGGACCTCATCACCGGGAGGGAATCGATTGAACCTCAGCTGGAGGTCGCCGGGCTGAAGGGCTTCGCCGACGGCACCGTGCCAATTCCGCCCGAGGAGGACGTCGGGCTACGCGGGGAGTTTCGTTCGGCTCACCTGCTCACCTTCATGGTCATCTCGAGGTGCTGCTCGCCGGTGGTGCAACTAGCGATGAGGAGCTGTCGAGAGCGACTAGATGCTGGCCACCAGGCATGGCGCTTCATCATGTCGACGTACCAGGTCAGGGACGACCTGTACATCGGGCAGCTGGAGGAGAAGATGAATCACCTTCGGATGGGCGAGCAGGAGTCGGCGACGGATTACTGCAACCGTGCTTGACGGATCCTGGCTGAGATGCGATTGGCGGGCGCCGAATACTCGACGGCGTCCTACATCACCCACATCGTCAAGGGCTTGCCGCGCAGCTACAATCTCATGAAGAGGATGATGATGGTGCCCGGCACTCGTAGGTCCCTCGAGGAGGACTCCATCATCAGCTACATTCTCCAGGATGAGGCGATGCAGGAGGCAGAACAGCCCACGGAGTTCCTTCTGCAGGCGAGTTACGCTGCACCGACGAAGCCGAATTATCAGCAGGAGCAGCGCGGGAAACAAGGCGGAGGTGGTAGCGGAAGTGGGCGGTCGACAAAGGACATCGACGAGAAGAGGTCGACGCGGGACAAGGGTCGACGAGGTGGTGGTCGACGGCGGGAGTGCTGGATCTGCGGCGACCCCAACCATCTCTCCTTCGAATGCCCAGACCGCGATGAGAGCGACGAGGACGACAACAAGGAAGGCCACGGTCGATCGGCTAGTCGTCGCCCCCGTCGAGTTGAGAAGCCCGCAAGGAGAAGCAAGCGTCGAAGAAAACTTCCTCGACAAAGGACGTCGACAGCTCCAGCGGCAAGAGCCGAGGCGACGGGGAGGCGTCGTGCTCGATGGTCGGCGTGGTGGAGCCGATGGTCTCGCTAGCACCGGAGGCTGGTGAGGACTTCCAGGCGGTGGCAGCAGCTGTGCAGGCCAACCCGATGGCGATGCTGCTCGACAGCGGGTGCTCCCACCACCTGATGGGGACGAAATCGGTCTTCGTCGACATGGAGCCGAGCGACGGAGTGAAGCACGTGCGTGGGTTCAACGGGGCATTGCAGCCTGTCAAGGGTCGCGGAACCGTTGCCCTGCAAGGGGAGGCCGGGAAGCGGGTCCTCATCCCCGACGTGCTCTACGTTCCGGGTGTTCAGGCGAACCTGTTGTCTGCTGGCCAGCTGAAGGAGAGCGGCGTGCTACTGCAGGGCGATGGCGATGAGATGTTGCTCGTCCCCGCGACTGGAGAGATGCTCGGTCGAGCACGCTACACCGGACGAGTCCTCTGCACCGACCTTCGCCCCTGCTCGACGCAGTCGCAGTCGACCGAGGTGGTGGCTCTGCGGACGATCGTCTCGGGGACGAAGACGACCCCCGATAGGATGCATGCGCGGCTTGCCCACGTCAGCGTCGACACGATCAAGAGCTCGGCGAAGCACTATGTTGCTACTGGGCTCGACATCACGTCGTCAACCGGAGCAGACCCGCCATGTGTCTCGTGCGTCGGAGCAAAGCTGGCGCGGCACACCTTCCCCTCCAAGGGCTCGGATGCAGCGGAGGCGCTGGCTGTCGTGCACATTGACTTGTGCGGGCCATTTCGGGTGGCTGCCAAGGATGGCAGCTTGTACTTCTTGCTACTGAAGGATCGCCATACTAGATTTGTATGGGCAATGCCGGTCGCTAAGAAGAGCCACGTGTTGCGGGAGTTCGAGCGGTGGCTAGTGCTGGTGGAACGGCAGACGAAGAGGTCAGTGCTGTCGCTTCGCTCCGATCGAGGCGGGGAGTTCCTCGGGAAGGCGTTCACCGACTTCGTCGACAGGAAGGGCATCGTCCATGACCTGACGTGCCCCTACACTCCGCAGCAGAATGGCATGGCTGAGCGGGAGATGCGCACGGCCGTCGAGTCCGTGCGGACGATGTTGCTGCACATGGGCGTGCAGCACCATTGGTGGCACCTTGCTCTACGACAAGCTGTCTGGGTGCGCAACTGCTTGGAGCGGTCGACGACGCCGCCGGGGACGACTCCGTACCAGCTGCTGACCGGGCAGAAGCCCGACCTTACGCTGGCGCGGGTGTGGGGCTGCATGGTGCAGTTCATGGTTCCCGAGCAGCAGCGTGGTGGGAAGCTGGCGCCGAAGGCTCGCTGGGGACTTCACCTGGGTGTGTCGCCAGCAAGCAAGGGCTAGGAAGTGCTCGACCTAACCGACAACAAGGTGGTCACGTCGTTCGAGGTGATCTTCTACGAGACGCTGTCGCTGGAGGTGTGGAAGGCGAAGTATGGGCCGGCGTCGCAGCGGACGCAGGCGCACCCGCCAACGGATACATCGACAGCGCCGGTTCCGTTGCTCGCCGAAGTCGACGGACTCGGTGATGAGGATGTTGTGGAGGTTCTTTCCCCTTCCCCTGTCTTTGCTCCTCCGTTCCCTGTCGCAGATCGGCCTGGGTCAGCACCTGTGTCGCCCACCGTCGATGAGGGGAGCCTTGAGGCGTCGCCTGTGGCGCCGGCCCATGGCATCGCCGGCGGTCGACAAGGCGCCAAGCTCGTCGACCAGACAGGGGAGCCGGTCGAACAGGAGGCAACGGCGGGGGTACACTCGACAGGGGAGCAGCAGTCGGAGCGGCCGACAGGAGAGTTGTCGAAGGTAGCAGCAGACGAACAGCCGGGCAAAGGGTCGAAGCAGCTGGTCGATGACGTTCTCGTCGACGAGAAAGGGGAGCAGTCGGCGGCTGAGGAGTCCACCGACAGCGACGTGATGGAAGTGCCGATCACGAAGCCTGAGCTGCGACGCACAGGTCGAGTCTGACGGCCGCCGGAGCGGTTGAGCTTCCACGCCTGCCTACCGCCAGCTGCCTTCACCACGGTGTACGACGAGGTCGACGACGACCTGCTGTACGACGATGCCGAGGAGGATGAAGACCTGCCGGAGCTCGACCCCAACGTGCATGCCGACCCCAAACACCGCTGGGACATCGCCACGATGACGGTGAAGGAGGCGCTGTCGAGCTGGAAGGGCGAGGCGGTGAAGGCCGCAATGGAAGAAGAAATCTGTAGCCTCATCGCTATGGGGACTTGGGAGCTGGTCGAACGCCCACGCGGGGTGAACATCATGAAGAACCGGTGGGTACTGACGACCAAGTACCGCATCGATGACACCGTCGAGCGCGAGAAGGCGAGGCTGGTCGTAAAGGGCTTCACGCAGGTGTACGGCGCCGACTACGACGAGACGTACTCACCGGTGAGCAGCTACGTCACGCTGAGGATCTTCCTCAGCATCGTCACCGTCCTCGACCTCAACCTGATGCAGCTCGACATGAAGAACGCTTTCCTGCAGAGCAAGCTCGATAGGGTGCTCTACATGTACCAGCCGGACTACTTCGACGACGGGACCGGCCGGGTGTGTAAGCTGCTGAAAAGCCTCTACGGGCTGAAGCAGTCGCCGCTGCTGTGGTACAGGGCTCTCGACGGTGTGCTGCTGGGTGCTGGCTGGAAGAAGAGCCACGTCCACGAGGCGCTCTACTTCAAGACCGGCGACGACGATGTGACCTCCTGGGTCTTGGTCTACGTCGACGACCTGCTCGCCGCTAGCTGCAGCACCGTGATGCTGAAGGAGCTGAAGGAGCTGCTGGAGGCCGCCTTCGAGCTGCGTGAGATCTCGCCGGTGGAGAAGTACCTTGGGCTGGAGATCGTGCGCGACAGGCCGGCCAGGAAGTTGTGGCTGCACCAGCAGAGCTACGCCGACAAGCTGCGCAGGCGCTTTGTCAACGAGGAGCAGGGCGGTCGAGTCCCGAAGACGCCGGTCTCGGTCGACGCCTACGCTCAGCTGACGTTCGACAACGAGTAGGCTCAGGAGCGCGAAGAGGAGAAGTACCGGCAGAAGGTCGGCTCGCTACAGTTCGCGGCGACGACGACGAGGCCGGACATTGCGTTCGCCTGCAGCAAGCTGGGGAGCGGCCCCACGGTGAGGAGCGACCAGCATTGGCGTGAGGTCGACCGTTGCCTCGCCTTCCTCGCCGACACCCGCGACACCGCCTTGGAGTTCGGCGGTGGACCAGAATCGTTGGAGCTGATCGGCTACGTCGATGCCGACGACGCGGGCGACAAGCAGAACCGGACGAGCACGGGAGGCTACGTGTTCGTCTACGGAGGGGCCGCCGTCTCCTGGTCGAGCTCGCGCATCAAGTGCGCGACATTATCATCGATCGAGTCGGAGTACGTGGCGGCCACGGATGCCGGCAAGGAGGGGCATAGACTTCGCTTCCTCCTTGCGGAATTCAAGCTGCTCGACGCTGGGAAGCCGACCATCCTCCGCGTCGACAACAAGTCGGCAATCACTGTCGTTGAGGGCTTGGGGCTGACGGGCAACCTCAAGCACATGGAGCGACGCTACGCGTGGCTGCAGCACATGGTGAGGCGCGGGAAATTTGTGCTGAACTACATCCCGACCACCGAGCAGCCGGCGGATTTCCTGACGAAGGCGCTGCACTTTCCGGCTTTCAATCGGTGCTCTGTCGCCATCGGACAAGTTCGTCTGGTCGACGTCGGCGACGGCGACAACGAGGCGCAGCAGTAGGTGCCGTGCCCTTCTGCACGGCTGGTGCGGTGACGGCGTGCTGTGTGTGGGGTGCACGCCGAGGACGAGTTCTCTCCGTGGAGTACTGCCGTGAGGGCTGGAGGCCCAAGCGTGAGCACGGCAGGGGAGTGTTAACGAGAATGGAGTGCTGGCCCCGCCCTCGCTTGGGCAACGCCGACAACTTGGTCGGATGTACGGGAGTAGCTGCCGACCGCTCACAGTGGGATAGCTGCTCGACAGGTTACGTCGAGCTGCAGCGGACCGCTATGGTGTTGCTGTCGACCAGGGTGCTCGACAGCTGCACCTGACTGGCCTGGGCGACGGGTGAGCCGTCAGGGAGGTCGACGAAGCAGTCCGTCGACCTACAGTTTGACGGGGAGGTCTATGGAGCATCCCGTCGAACTGCAGCTCGACCAGGAGGTCAACGGAGCGTCCCGTCGAACTGCAGCTCGACCGGGAGGACAACGGAGCATCCCGTCGAACTACAGTTCGACCGGGAGGTCGACGGAGCAGTTCTGGTCGACGGAAAGGGGTCCGTCGACCAAGGGGTAGCTTGACGGGAGGTGTGGTCGACCAGGAGCGCCCGGTGGTCGACCAGAGGGACCCAGTGGTCGGCGGGAGGCACCTGGGAGTCGACCAGAGCACCAGGGGTCGACCAGGTCGACCGCGTAACCTGCTCGACAAGTTCTGCGGAGGCACGCGAACGTCGTCAAGATCGCGATGGCGCAGGCAACTTTGGGCTGGTATCCCGAAGTCGATGTGGCTCGTCAGGCGCGGACAACAGCCGACGGATGCCCAACGAGGCAAGTCGGGCCAATCGTCCGCGCACACCTGCGAGCGCGCGCACTGCTGTGTTCTACGGGGCACGCCGTCGACCTGCTTTGTTGGCAGGTCGCCCTTCTGCAATGCTGGCGCGGCTCCTCTACGCAATGCTGGCAGGCGGTCGACCGAGCTGCGTTGGCGGTCGACCAGGCTAGCTGCAGGGTTGCTAGGTTCCTGATGTAGTCATTGTTGTCATTGCTTCTTGTATCATTCTAGAATTCCAACTTTGCTAGTGGAAACTCTTGCCAAATCCTTCCGTAAATGTGCAAACACTAAGGAACTAAGCAAAGCTAAGATCACCTCTAGTAGTTCGTGCCAACCCCAGTAGTCTAGCTCACTACCGTTGTAGAGTTAATCTCCGCAATCATCGCCACAGTCGATGTAACGGTTCTCCATGAGAGAGGTTGTGCGCACGATCTGCGTGTGCACAAGTGGGTAGTCGAGCTGCCACACACGAATCACACTGGTTGTTGGTACCAGTACTTAAGGAAAACAATAATAAGGAAAACAAATGAACCGTCACGAATCAGAGCTTGACCGCTCTGTGGTGAGCTGCTTGACTCGCTTGACCGCTCGAAGGTGAGCTGCTTGACTCGCTTGACCGCTCTGTGGTGAGCTGCTTGACTCGCTTGACCGCTCCGTGGTGAGCTGCTTGACTCGCTTGACTGCTCTGTGGTGAGCTGCTCGACTCGCTTGACCGCTCTGTGGTGAGCTGCTTGACTCGCTTGACCGCTCTGTGGTGAGCTGCTTGACTCGCTTGACCGCTCTGTGGTGAGCTGCTTGACTCGCTTGACCGCTCTGTGGTGAGCTGCTTGACTCGCTTGACCGCTCTGTGGTGAGCTGCTTGACTCGCTTGACCGCTCCGTGGTGAGCTGCTTGACTCGCTTGACCGCTCTGTGGTGAGCTGCTTGACTCGCTTGACCGCTCTGTGGTGAGCTGCTTGACTCGCTTGACCATGCAGCTGAATTGCTTGTAATGAGAAATCCCGATCCCCCTGTTGTCATTGCTACTCTCATCATTGCCCTCTCTGCACCGTTCACCTTTTCCTCTCAATTCTCGAACCTCACTTTCTCTACAGGGACTTATGTCGAGCCGTCTCAAAAGTCTTCTCCCTCTCTCGACCGGTCTGTGTGCTCCTCTCTCCCTTACTTTAACAAGCTCGTCCGTATCCTCACCACTCGCCCCGCTGTGACCTGTGTGGAGCCGTTTCAACCAACCAGCTCTCAACCACTCTTCTCCTCCTCTTCATCCCGTTGTGTGCTCCTCTCTCCTCACAGGGCCCTGACCCCTACTTTAACAAGCTTATCCGAATCCTCACCACTCGCTGCATGACTCAGGTGGGAGGTGACAGAGATATGTGGTGAAGGGACATGAAAGGATGCAAGGCATGCACCTCTATGTTCTCGCAGGGCCCTGGCCCCTGCTTCGACAATCTCACCCGCATCCTCACCACTCGCTGCATGACTCAGGTGCGAGCTCACTAGGATGTGCAGTGAAGGGACATGCATGCATGGCATGAGAAAGAAAATGTGCTACACACGTGCATGACTCAGGTAAAAGCCAACACTCATGCTTGATAATACCATAGGTGCGCACATGGGGCTAGCTAGGGTGCATGCAGAGCAGATTGCTGAAGACCCTTCCAACCTATGTTTTTTTAGAATTCTCAAAAAACATACGCTGAGAATTCTCAAAAAACATACGCTAGCTAGGGTGCAGAGCAGATTGCTGAAGACCCTTCCAACCTTTTCATGTTCCCCCTTTTGATAATCGACTTACTTCTCCTCCCTCCAGCCTTTTCATGTTCCCCCTTTCCCCATGCTTCCCCAGGCCGTGTATTGCCCCAGCGGTTAGCTGGCGCCTGCAGAGTACCACCACTGCAGCCTCGCAGCCCATATTAGTGCCCCCGCTCTCTCACTTTCACACACACAGCCCACCCCTCCCCCATCCGTGTCTTTGCCCCTTAACCCCCCCCAACCCACCATGCCCCCATGCTTCCCCAGGCGGTGTATTTTCCCAGCGGCCAGCTGGCCCCTGCAGAGTACCACCACTACGGGCTGGCAGCCCCCATCTATACCCACTTCACTTCCCCCATCCGTCGCTACGCTGGTGAGACACTTGGCGCCTCCCCTTTGAGCGTTAGAGAAAGTGCCCTCCAAAGTGCCACCACCACTACGAGCTGGCAGGTCCCATATGCACTCACTTCACCTCTTCCTTCCACTGCTACGCTGGTGAGGCAAGTGGTGCCACGTGTCCTTTCCACGTGACAAAAGTGTTGTTTTGAGACGTCTCAAAACAACACTTTTGTTACGCTGGTGTGGCAAGTGGCGCCACGTGTCCTTTCCTCTCCCCTAACTTCACCTCTCTTACCTTCATCTCCCTTCCACATTTCTCCCCTGCTAACGTCGGATCTCCACTGCTCTTGCCACCTCTCCCTCCCCCTCCTCTCGATCCTCCCCGCTCCTCTCACCTGTATGGGGCAAATCAACCTTCCACTTTCGCCCTGTGCCCACCCTCTTGAATGTGCCAACGCCCATGCAGGCAGACGTGGTGGTACATCGCCTGCATCGCAGCCATCGGATTGACATTGCTGCCATTTAAGGCGCCTCAAAATCTCCCCGTCCTCTGCCGCCCCTCTCCCCTCTGACTGTGAATTCATCCATGCCCAACCAGACGTGGTGGTGCATCGCCTGCTGGCTGCAGCCATAGGGTTGACACCGCTGCCGGATCAGACCAAGGATAAGACTGCACTCACCGCCCTCACTGATAGTAAGCACCGCAGGAAATTCTGTCCACACTCCCGTTGTCTCTCTCATTACAACGTTAGTGTGATTTCCTCCCAGTAAATTCCCGCTTCTGTGATATGGAGTCAGTACAACACGAGGCATTGACAGCACATAGAAACAGCAGCCAGCAATTTGCGTAGTATGTGCTTATGCAGACTTTGCATGAAAGATCCAGGTGACTGATGGCAAAAGTCGTCATGTGTCAGAGTCAGACCAACGTGCTGACCTTTGGATAGCTGTGTCAAAAAACATGTTGGAAGGCTCACCTTCTCCTCTCCCTCTTGTTGCTTCTACCCCTCCTCCTCACCCCATGTCTCCCTCTCTCGCGACACACTTCCTTGTCTTCGCCTGGGTCCCTCACTCCTCCCTACTTCTCGTTTTTCTCAACCCTTCTCCCCACACTCCCGTCACAATGTGCCAGACCTCAACTATCGCAACCGCAATGCTCAGATGGCGGGGCGAGCATCAGTGGAGCTTCACACGCTCATATTCTTCCGCACTCGGTGAGCTGTCAGCGTGTCCTTCTTACCATTACTACCTTTCCTACACACCTTCTTCTTCTTCCTGCATTCATCTTCCCATGCTTCTCGTGCACAGAACGTCTCTTGTCTTGCAAATTTGGTCTATTTCTTTCGCCCTCGTTCTCTCACGTACTTACCGCTGTTCTCTCTAACCTGTCCGTCTCCTCTCATCACTTTCTCGCCAGCCCAACGGATGCGGAGGGTCGGATAGTGATGGTCCGCTCCAATGGGCTGATCGTCTTCGTGCCCAAGTAAGCAACACTCCTTTTATTTGTTTTCTGTCATTATTATTTTTTCCCCTCGAAAATTTCTGTGTTCATGTTGTGTACAAAAACGACGCTTTCTGTGTTGTTCTGTGTTTGCACAACTCACACCTGCTGCACAACCTGTGTGCTGCACTTTCCCTTTCTTTGCTCAATTCTAGGTATGGCATCGAGGGACCAGTCTATCTCGTACCCAAGGAACCTCACAAGGGGAAAGCTGCTGCAGTTGCTGCTGCCAACAAGCTCGATGGGAATGCACCATCTAGTGACTGGGTGGTGGATGAGAAGTCGCAGACGGTAGAGTCGAAAGACGGGAAGCGGCGATTTAAGGTGTTGGATACAGTGACTGTGCACATTGAGGTCATTGAGCCGCAGCCCAATCGGCCCAAGCTGTCACTGACGTTAGTGAGCCAATGATGCGAATGGCCAATAACCAAACTATAGCCAATAAATGATCAGGTTGTGTACTGTACTCACTATTGATCCAAAGAAATGGACACTGATTGTGCACATTGAGGTTATCGAGCCACAGCCCAATAGGCCAAAGCTGTCACTGACTTTAGTGAGCCAATGATGTGCTGTGAATGTTCAATAACCGAACTAAAGCCAATAAAGGATCAGATTGACTCCCAGCCAGGCCTGTCGATTGACGGGCATATGCCCTTAATGCCCTGAAATTCCGGGTTACTTTCGCTCCAGCTCGACTGCATAAAGTGTTAGGATCGCATTGCACCCGTGCCACTAAGTGCCTCGTCAGACCCTTCCCCGGGACAAAGGGACAGGGAATGGGGAGAAAATGGCGCTGCTCAGAACAACAAGGGCGAGAGTTCGATCAATCCATCTCCAGTAGGCGTCTGGGACTGAGAGGAAGGGAAGGACGTGCGGAGAGCAGACTGCAAGGAGGGCATGGGAACGAGAAGAGCTCCAGTTTCACATACTCTCGGCTGCTAGCTAGTGTACTTTTTACACTGTTTTTCCAACTTGCTTTAGCCTAGACCCCAAACACTTCTGCTCACTGGAAGGTATCTGAGGACTAGTATGCGCCTGGGACTGACAGGAGGGGAAAGGGCTTGGGGAAGGGAAGGCACGCGTGGAGAGAGGGCATGGAGAGAGGGCATGGAGAGAGGGAGATGGGCATGGGAAGTAGCAAGAAGGAGGGAACATTTGAGGTGAGTTGGGGGGTGCAATAGGCAGCAGGGAAGGGAAGGGATAGTGGGAAATAGGTTGAGAAAAGTTATACAAACATCAAGCAGGTATGGGGCAGCAGTGGCAGCACCATTACCACCTGGTGACGATACCTGATATGGCTGCTGGTATGATGACAGGTGACACACAAATATCCATCCCCTCTCCACTCCTCGCATTGTCTTCACTCCCATGTGGACCCCACACCTCGTCCCCCCCTTCCTCCCATCATTCCCCAGCTATAATCCCCTTTACTGCCCTGCCCCCCTTTGCAGGTCTGCGCTGCTGGTAACACCACCGCCCACACAGCATCTGCCTTTGCGCCGACTGCTCTGCTCTGCATCCCCCCCTGCTTCTCCCGCCTTCACCCTGCCATCTTGCCCTCGGCAGAGACAGTGCGTGTCTGATTCGCTCCATGGCTGCTGCCTCGTGCTCAAAGTCAAACTCGTACCGGATCTGCACCACAGGGACGAGGGACGGGACAGGATGAGGAACGAGGGCAGCACATTCCCCTTCGTATCGCCCGGTAGTGCCTTGCCTTTGAGCGCTGTTTCCGAGACTTGAGCCATCTCACACGTTCATGGCTGCTGCATCGTGCATAAAGCCAAACCCAGGGAGGGGAAAAGAGGGCCACAGGATGAGGGAAGGGAGCAGCGCATACACCGATGCCTGGAAGCCATTTTCCGCGATTTGAGGCGTCTGATACCCGATTGCATCGCACCGGGCTGGCGACCTCTGAGTCGACTCAAGACTCACTTCAAAGAGGAGATGTCAACTGATGCTGCATTCAAGTACCTTAAGAAAGAAGCCCTGCATTTCCGCGCCCCGCTCGTGCTGCTCCTCCCATGCCGCCCGCCGCTGCTCCTCGCTCAACCTGCAACCCACCCGCACGCGCACCTAGCACACAGTTGATGGCGCGCGCATGGGGATGGGTGGAGCGGGGAGCAGGGGAGAAAACAGGCGGAGAGGAACGGAGTGACGCGGCGAGGGGAGGTACAGCTGGCACAGCTGATGGCGCGCGCATGGGGGTGGAGGGAGCGGGGAGAAAAGGCGGCGGGAAGGGGAGAGGCTGTTGAGTCGAATCAGATGGTGAGAGGAGACGCCACCGTGCCTGGCGTAGCTGACGGTGAGGGGAGCGCGCTCTGCTGACTCGTTACAGTCATTCAGTGTGCCAATGCCTCGTTAAATTTACCCGCTGCTGGCAACGCCGGTAGAGTTGGTAGCGCCGGCAAAACTGTTTGTTCCCCGCGCCGTGGCACTCCCCGCCTAGTCATGCGAGTGCCATGGCGCGCCGGACAGCCCGCTCCGGAATTGCGACTCCGCCTGCACGATCCGATCCTGCAGCCATCCCGCGAGCTCGGCGCGCAGCGACTCGGGGTTCAAGCCTACGACCGAACTGCCGTTACGGTCGGTCGAGGCGGCAAGAGATTGCTTCGAGATCGTACCAGTAGGGTTACGATGGGCGATAGCTACGTTTCTTGGGACGAGTAAAATGCCACTTGGCGGGTTCGGAGAAAAAATCGAAACCGCATGGGCCTGACTGCGAGACAACTTAGTTGTATGAATTACACAATCTCTGCTATTAGACGTAGCATGAACAACAGTGAAATACTCTACCAGGATTCGTCTAAGGGAAAGGACACCATGGATTGCTGCTTGTGAAAGTTATCCTGCTGCAGGGTGTTGTGACAGTGATCAGGGTGCATGCGATGTGAACATCGCACACGGTTTGCGAAAACTGGCAATATCTGTCGTTACAGAATTCTACGTGTGTGCGATACATCAGTGTGTGCATGGAACTGTGAATTGCCCGACGAAACACTAGCGATGATATGACGAACTTGCGCGAACTCATCCCTAGGCTAGTCCTCCCTCGCCATCTCTGCTCACATGACAATCTGCGTTACACGCCGGAACCTGTGCACCTTCCTTCGCCAATGCTCTGTGTGGACAGATCTGGAGCTTTGTTTTCCAAAACAGTGCATTAGCTCGAATACAACCGTAATCAACCATTTTTGAAACCCGCTGAACCACACTTTTCGACAGATCTTCTCCCCAACGAGATCTGCTCGGGAAACACTTACACATTTCGCGCCACACAGGGCACCTAGCACCAACGCGCATCGCTGATTTGCAGTTGTGCTCCCTTGCCTGTCTCACCCAGCGTTCCTGACACAGCCGCTCTGGCCGTCTTTTTCCTCAATTATTGCTCTCACGCTCTGGCCCTTCCCACACTAGCTGCTAACTCACCAGCTCTGCCTATTTCTTCCCCATTTGGATGGCGCCACACGCCACCACGCACCAACCTGGCTGTGCCTTCCTCTGTTGGCCATCTCACCAAACATTCCTGCCAGACACAACCACTCTGGCCGACTTTTTCCTAGAATTATTGGTGTCAATTCGAATCGAAGGTTGGCAGCTTGCCTCCAATGCGAGTAGTTCGACGTGGCCCCAGCCGCGTTCCCGCCGTGAGTCCCGCGTCGCCAACCGTCTCCGTTCCATGCGTCGCCGGGGGAAAGAGATTCACGGCGGAAAGTAGTTCCTGCGATTATTGGTACTAAAACTACAGACGTGGTGTCACCAATAATTGTCATAGCACACCCCTCGGACCGCACAGCAGAATGACGGACACAACTCAATCCGATCTTGCCTCCGATGCGATCCGAGCCGCAGTGCGGCTTGGATCTGGCGGCGTTCGAAAGGGACGGTCTCGCCGTGAGGTGCCATACTCATTCATTCCTTTCAACCAACCAGCCTGAACGATGGCGGGTGCGCATTTCCTTTCGACTACATTGGCATTATGGGTGATACTAGTCGTGCTGATGGCTCTCAATCCGACACCTGCGTCAGCCGCATTCAACTTCTCAATCTCCGAGGCCGGAAAAGTGCAGTGGTCGCTCGACTGTGACTGGGTCGGCAACGACATAGGCCGAGCGGCCGGCAAGGGCGAGACGTGCGGACAGCAGTGCCTGAGCCGCGCGGATTGCACGCATTGGACGTGGAGCGCTTTCAACGGCGGCACGTGCTGGCTCAAGGGGGCCATCAACGCGACAGAGCTGGTCCCCGCCACTGGCACGTCGTGTGGTTACCGCGTTACCGACAGCGCGACCGGCAACCCGTACACGGCAGTCCAGCAGTACCTCAACCCGGGGTACGCGGCGAGCGTGAATGCCGCGGTGCGCGCCGCGCTTCCCTCGAATGCGCCGTTTTTCGCGAGCGTGGCGCAGTATGCGACGGCTGTGTGGCTCGACACGATGGCTGCCCTAGATTCCATCCCCGGCCACCTGAGCGACGCGGCGACTCAGGCGGGCGGCAAGGCGATTCTCGTGCAATTCGTGATCTACGACCTCCCGGGCCGCGACTGCAAGGCGTGGTCGTCCAACGGGGAGATTCCCAAGGGCGGCCTCGACACGTACAGGACCAAGTACATCGATGTTGCCGTGGCGCGCCTCAAAACCAAGGCGGCGAACGTGCGTCTGTCGCTCGTGATCGAGCCCGACTCGCTGCCCAACATCGCGACGAACATGGGCACGAATCGGTGCGACGCGACGACGGACAAGGAGTACACGGAGGGCGTCGCCTACGCCATCGCGAAGCTGTCGCAGATCCCCGACACCACGCTCTATCTCGACTCCGGCTTCGGCGGCTGGCTCGGTGAGTGCGTATGCCTGTGATTCATTTCAATGCTGTAATCTATTCCGTTCCAGTACGGCCGTTTCTTCCTCCACTTTCAACCTGACTCATCACTTCACACTTCTCCCCACAACACCTTCCCCCGTCGCGTGAGCAGGGTGGCCGGAGGGGATGAAGCGCGTGGTGGCGGTGTACAGGAAGGTCCTCGCGCGCGCGCGGCAGATCCGCGCGAACGCCAAGATCCGCGGCTTCGCGTCCAACGTGGCCAACTACAGCCCGCTCTTCGCGACCGGCTGCCCCGCCTTGGAGAAGTGCCCGCTCGCCAAGAACCCGAGCACGGGCGAGATGTGCTACGACTGGAACCCGTGCATCGACGAGAACCGGTTCACGGCGCGCATGAATGCGTACCTGGGAGCCGCGGGACTGCCCACCAGGTGGATCGTGGATACGAGTAGGTCCGGCCGCGCTGGCATCCGCAACCGCTGGGGGTCGTGGTGCAACGTGAAGGGCGCGGGAATTGGACAGCGCCCCGAGGCGAATCCCGCTAATGCTCCGCAAGGTGAGCACCCTTGCTTTTTCTTGCTGCTGCTTTTGTTCTCTTCTCTTCTCTTCTCTTTTCTTGGCGATCCTGTTTCGGAATGGCGTTTCCCGAGGGGCCCTTGGGTGGTCTCATGCGGTTCCCTCCACTTTCCCGCACACCTTTTTCTTGCCTGCCCCGCAGTTGATGCTCTTGTCTGGATCAAGCCGCCTGGGGAGAGCGATGGCCATTCGTAAGTTCCTAATCCCTCCTATGTGCCTGCGGGGTATTGCTACTGTTTTCCGTGTGGGTTTGTCCCTTCCTCTTTGCCAACGGGTCATTTATCAGATGTTGAAACGGTTGGCTGTGCTTCTCGGTACACCTTCACTCATCTCTCTTCCTTCCTCCAACCTCTCATCTCCCCAGAACAAAGATTCTGGGCATTTTTCCCGTGGATCGCGAGTGCGACCCCAATGACGCGCTGGGCCTGGACGCCCTGTCGAACGCGCCCCGCGCTGGGCAGTGGTTCCAGACGCAATTCACCGCGCTGGTTCGCTACGCCAACCCGCCCATGCCTGCTGGAAAGGTGGACCCCTGCATGTTTGATCCAAAAACAAACCCCGCGTGCGATCCGTTCTGGGAGGACGTGGCCGTCAAGTACTCGCCGCAGTACAGGTTCCACCCCGACGAGGATATCTGGCCAATCACGATCGACGAGTTCCTCACACACGTAACTTCCTCCAAAGGTTTTTTTACTGTGGATGGCAGAGTTTATCAGCTTGATTACCAAACGGGTCCGATCACTCCCGACAACCTCGATACATTGCTGAAGAATCCAAGTAGCGAGCGTGGCACAACTGTCCTGTACAGTCCGGATCAGTTTGACAAGGATGACGACTGGATGCGCGACTCGGCGCGCAACCCGAAGAACGGAGGCACGAAGCTGTACACCATCATTTACGATCCGAAACCGGACGACAAAGACTCGTTTGTGGAGATTCAGTATTGGCTCTTCTACCCTTACGTGAGTATTCCAAGTGGTACCCTGGCTTCAAGTACTTCCTTTTGTCTCCTCCCCTCTCTCTCTCCCACACCCCTTTCGTAAAATGTTCTCAATCTGTTTCAACTAATCCACCCTTGTCGTTTGTAGAACTATGCCAGCGCCTTTGGTGGCAACCACATTGCGGACCTGGTGGCGATTGCAATCCGCTTCTCGAAGACCGGCCAGCCGCAGCGCATTTGGTACGCGCAGCACGGCGACGGCCCCGTGTGGGCGTGGGACCAAGGAGCCGACAAAAAGTCAACGAAGAAGTTTGGTACGGTGATGGGAACACATCCCATTGTGTATGTCTCGGAAGGAAACCATGAGCACTACCCTAGACTTGGTGAGTAATGCCTCGAGTAACACTCTGCATCTTGTCCTGCAGTCATCTACGCAAAGGCTGGACCCTGTTGCTGCTCTGTGTTTCTCCTTCATTTGCAGGTCGTCACAATTGCTATGCTCTCGGGATCGTTTGTTCGATTACACGGCCAACGGAGGAGTCGTATGGACGCCCAAGGACAACCCGCAATCCTTTGAGTTTGTTCACGTGAAGAGCGAGATGTCCGGCTCCACATCGAATGCAGACATGGCGAAGCTATTCACGGGGAGAAACAAGTGGATGGCTTTCAATGGGAAAATTGGTGGATATTGTAAGTGTGTTTGTCCTTCAACCACGGTGTGTAGAGAATGCTTTGGATGATGGGTGCTGACTTTGTTTGCTTTTGTTCTCAGATGACTCGGGACTCGAAACTGGAGTGAGCGCGATAGCTTTCCAGAAGAACCAGGGGCAGGTAAGCTTGTGTTTAGCTACAGGACATTTTGCATGTTGTCTTTCTCTGGCATGGCGTGCCAATCAGCCTCTAATATTTCTTCTTGTTGCGCCAACAGTTCACTGCTAACCTAAGGGATGAGTAAGCAAGGGGCGAATCCCTGAGGGGTGCTTGCTGTGAGAAGAGGCAGTGTGGCACAAAGTGGAGGTGTGGCAAGGGGCAACCCCCACATGGGTTGAGTGGGGAGGGGACCCTCTTCTCTTCAGCGAAGCGACTCTCCTGGCCCATTGACGCTTGGATTGGCACCGACCAAGCTCCACCACCATATAGAGTTAGGGAGTGTTCCTACGCTCTTATCAGGCAGTCCTCTTATCAGGCTTGCCTGGTAAATTTTTGCGAAAAATTTTGGGTTTAGGGAAATTTCAGAGTCTGACAAGGGGGTGGCCTGATAGGTGGCCGCATGAACACGCCCTTAGCTCCTCTTTGAATAAAACGTGGCGTGCTCCTCCTCATGTTGCACGTTGCCGAGTGTCCTTGCTTACTCCGGCTACTTTCCCTGATGTGGTGTCTGGTGGTGCTGATGGTAGTATGGTGGTGCTGAGGGTGTTTAGCAGCACCACCATACTACCCTCAGCACCACCATGCTACCCTCAGCACCACCATACTACCCTCAGCACCACGAGGAGGGCGGGAGAAGGTACAGGGGCACATGGAAAGAACGGACAGTGGAGGAGGGGAGTTGAGGGTGGGGAACGGGGGGGGCAGGGGAGGTGTGATGGAATCGAGTGAGAGCGATGCAAGGGGTTGTGCTGGTGTTGGTACAACGAGTGGCAATGAAGCAGAGGGGGATATGTCTGACAGAGAAGGAGCGGGTGAGCAAGGAGCGAGGGGAAGAGGCGCAAGCGAGGGAGGAAGTTGCAAGGGTGATGGAGGCGTTTCTTCTGAGGCCACTGCCTTACGAGGTGAGGACTCACGACACTCAAGGTTGTGACGTCTTCCATCACAGCCAGCATCTGACTGCGAGCAACGGTTGAGGCTTGTGTGCTGCTGTGACACCACCACTCAGGTCACACGTCCACTGGACACCACCCCACCCCACCCCACCCCACTCTGCATGCATGCATGCTCCAAGCTTCTCTCCCCGTGTCCCCATCCCCTGCCACCATTCTTCACGTTCCCATTGGTTGCCATTGGTGCGTTGGTGAAGCTGATTGGCTTGCGAGGGTGAGCGTTGAATGACCTGCCAGCACCGATGGCCGCATGGGATAAGCAGCAGCAGAGTGGGGGGGAGAGGGGAGAGGGGGTACGAGGGGAGAGAGTGCACGGGGAGAGAGGGGGAGAAGATAGCAGGGGGGGGTGGAGATAACCAAAGAAAGGGAAGTGAGAGGAGAGGGGGGAGGGAGGGAAGGTGAGGAGTAGAGTGGGGAGAAGGAGATGTTACAATTGTAGACCAGGGATCTCTCTCGGCTGCTAGATCAATGCCACGTGGACAGCATGAGCAGGGCGCACGAGTGGTATGGGGCACGAGCAGTAGGAGGCACGAGCAGGAGGGGGGGATTTTACAAGGGCAGTCCAGAAGGCAAGGCAGACTGCAGTGCCACACGCCCTTGCCTCATGCATATTGCTCGGAATGAGAAGTGGCGGAAAGAGGGTCAGGGTTGAAGGAACGGATGTGTGATGAGAGATTGGAGACGAGGATCGAGTGCGCATGGGGAGAGATGTCTGGCTTGGGTGGGAAGTGGGCTGGCTGAAAGGCGAAAAGTGGGAGGTGGAGAGGAGAGCAGGGAGGAGTAGGGGAGAGTGGAGCATGGGGTGCCGTGCCCTGCTTGGGGTGGGCTCTGGCCTGCCTGAGGGGAGAGAGGGAAAAGGGGCGAGATGGGGAGGAATGGGGAGGATGGTGGGGAAATGGAGGGATAACAGCAGCAGAACGGGGGATACATGCAGAGGAAAGGCCAGCATTGTGGCGAATGAGGAGGGGACACGTGTAGCCTGGCTAGGAGCGGAGTGCATGGAGAGAAGTAGGCGCCGGGGATGGATTTGGAAGGGTGGGAGGAACGATAGTGGATAGGAGAGAAGGCACAGCATGGCATGGTGTATGGGGAGCGGCATGGCAGCATGTGAGGTGAGAATGCAGCAGAACGGTTGGGGCAGTGATGTGGTGGCGTTGATGATGCTGGCGATGATGCACATCGTGCACAGCCAGCTAGGGCGATTTGAGTCTAGAGAGGGCGCCACCTCCCCTCTCCTCTTATCCACCCTGTCAGACGTAGCTGACGGTGAGGGGAGCGCGCTCTGCTGACTCGTTACAGTCATTCATGTGCCAAAGGGTCGTTACAAACACCCGCTGCTGGTACCGCTCGTACCGCTGGTAGCGCCGGCAAAACTGTTTGTTCCCCGCGCCGTGGCACTCCCCGCCTTGTCATGCGAATGCCATGGCGCGCTGGACAGCCCGCTCCGGAATTGTGACTCCGCCTGCACGATCCGATCCTGCAGCCATCCCGCGAGCTCGGCGCGCAATCGGGGTTCGAGCCTACGATGAAATTGCAGTTACGGTAGGTCGAGGCGGCAAGAGATTGCTTCAAGGTCGTGCCAGTAGGGTTATGATGGCGGCGGCGGCGTTTCTTGAGAGTTGACGAGACAAAAATCGAAAAATATTAAAACCGCACGGGCCTGACTTTGGCGAGACAACGTAGTTTACGAATTACACTATCTCGACTACGTCGCATGAACAATAATGAAATACTCTACAGGCGGTAGGGAAGACGAGGGACGCCATGGATTGCTTCTTGTGGAGGTTATCCTGGTGCAGGCTGTTGCGACTGTGATCACCGTGCTTGCGATGAGGGCAACATCGCACACGCTTTGCGAAACCTGACAATGTTTTTTGCTACAGATTTCTACCCGTGTGCGACGCATCAGTGTGTGTATAGCACAGTGAATTGCCCAACGAAATACAAGCGATGATAGCCCGAACCATCGCGAACGCATCCCCAGGCTAGTCCTCCCTCGCCATCTCTTTTCACATGGAAAATTGCGTTACCCGCTGGAACTGTGCACCTTCCTTCGCCAACGTTGTACATGGACGGATTTGGAGCTTTGATTTCCTAACCTGTAACTCAAATACAACCGCAATCAACCGTGTTGAAACCCACTGAACGAAACTTCCGACAGATTTGCTCTCCGACAAGTTTTGCTCGGCACGGGAAACATGTTCATATTTCGCGCCAGGGCTGCTTGCAACGCAACATCGCATTCGGTTGGCGAAACCTCACGAGGTGTCGCCAGCATCGATTTCAGCTTCTGTGGGCGAGTCGGCCGGAATGTGGACGAGGAGCTGTTGCTGCTCGACGAAGCTCGCGGTTGCGGTTTCAGGTCAGCTTTCCGATCGCTATTCATGTTACATGCATCACAATTATGTTACGGAGTGTCACCAGGCTTCGTAGGTCGCCGAGCACGGTTTTGTTTGGTGAGTTTCGTTTCAAACTGGTCAATACAGTACCGTGTGGTACCGCGTCAAAACCTTCACAATCACTCTGAACGACAATCTATGGAGTATCGCTTCCCTTCGGACAGCCCCTTGCAGATCTGCAAGCAGATTCCAGATTTCCTCACCAGCGCACGCCACGGCATCCACACATTACAGAAACCCGTGCGCAGCTAACACATACACGGGAACTTGTCTCACAAGCCATGGCGTCACCAAGGATTCTCAGAACTCACGTCTCGGACCGTAGGTCGGAAAGCATTATGGGAAACGAGAGGCATTGTAAGCTTCCCCCTGATGCGATCCGAGCCGCAGTTCTGGTCCCCAGCTATAAAAAGCGACGGTCCCTTGAGTACGTCGATACTCAATCATTCGCAACTCTATTATTCCTTCCAAACAACCAACCAAAACGATGGCGGCTAGGTATTTCCGAAACGCATTGGCACTGGTAGGACTAGTAGTAGTGCTGGTGGCTCTCAATCTCTCAGTGAGAGCCACGTTAGCATTCAGCTTCTCAAGCTCCGAGCAGGGGGGGGTGATGTGGTCGTTCGACTGCGACTGGAAGGGCAACGACATTGACCGAGCCGCCGGCATGGGCGACACGTGCGGAAAGCAGTGCCTCGATCGCGCGGATTGCACGCATTGGACGTGGACGGCCGAAAATGGCGGCTCGTGCTGGCTCAAAGGGGCAATCAACGCGACAGAATTGGTCGCCGCCAATGGCACGTCGTGCGGTTACCGCGTTACCGACAGCGCGACCGGCAACCCGTACACGGGAGTCCAGCAGTACCTCAACCCCGAGTACAAGGCAAGCGTAGAAGCCGCGATGCGCGCCGCGACTCCCGGGGATGCGCCGTTTTTCGCGAGCGTGGCGGAGCATCCGACGGCCGTGTGGCTCGACACGATGGCGAAGCTCGACGCCATCCAGGGCCACCTGGACGCCGCAGCGGCTCAGGCGGGGGGAAACCCGATTCTCGTGCAATTCGTGATCTACGACCTCCCGGGCCGCGACTGCAAGGCGTGGTCGTCCAACGGGGAGATTCCCAAGGGCGGCCTCGACACGTACAAGGCCAAGTACATTGATGTTGCCGTGGCGCGCCTTAAAAACAAGGCGGCGAACGTGCGTCTGTCGCTCGTGATCGAGCCCGACTCGCTGCCCAACATCGCGACCAACATGGGCACGAATCGGTGCGACGCGACGACGGAGCAGGAATACATGGAGGGCGTCGCGTATGCCATCGCGGAGCTCTCGCAGATCCCCGACACCACGCTCTATCTCGACTCCGGCTTCGGCGGCTGGCTCGGTTAGTGCGTGTGCGGCTGCCTTTGCCCCTGCGCCCCTTCCCGCTCCAAACCCTCGTCAACACCGGCTGGCATCTCGAAGGGATGTGATCCCCCATCCGGCTGATCCGACGGCCCTGATCGCCCCAGATCCGCCACGATTTGCGCAGCGTTCCCCTGAGCACCAATTCTTTTGCGCAACGTCCCTTTGCAGCTGGACCCCTGCTTCCGTCGTTTCGCTTCGCACCCTTCCCCCCTCACCCCACCCCGCAACCCTAATCCGCTCCCCGTCTAATGCGAGAGCAGGGTGGCCGGAAGTGATGAAGCGCGTCATGGCGGTGTACATGAAAGTCCTCGCGCGCGCGCGGCAGATCCGCGAGAACGCCAAGATCCGCGGCTTCGCGTCCAACGTGGCCAACTACAGCCCGCTCTTCGCGTCCGACGACGGCTGCCCGGCGTCGGAGAAATGCCCGCTCGCACAGAACCCGAGCACGGGCGAAATGAACTATGACTGGAACCCGTGCATTGACGAGAACCGCTTCACCGCGCGCCTCAATGCGTTCCTGGGGGCCGCGGGACTGCCCACCAGGTGGATCGTTGACACCAGCCGGTCCGGCGTCGCTGGCATTCGAACGCGCTGGGGGTCGTGGTGCAACGTGAAGAACGCGGGGATCGGAGAATGCCCCCAGGCGGATCCCGCTGATGCTCCGCAAAGTGAGCACTTGGTATCTTTCAATAGCATCCTGCTTCTCTCCCTCGTGCTGTTGCAAATTGTCCGTATCCGTTTTATTCTCTTTAGTACAATTCTGATTTTACTATCGTTTCCCCCTTGTGACTCCCTACCTTGCTTGCCTGCCGACAGTTGACGCTGTGGTCTGGATCAAGCCGCCTGGGGAGAGCGATGGTCACGCGTAAGTGTCCTAGTCCGCGGCCTGCATTTACAAATTTCGTTTCAGTCCAGAAATTCCGTTTGTGGTTCATCTGATGCATGCATCCACAAACTGTAGTTTCTTCCTTCTCCTTGGCTCATATCTCTTCCTCCCTTTCCACGATGTATTCAACTCAGAAAGGAGATTCCGGAGCCGCTTCCCGTGGATCGCGAATGCGACCCCATGGACCCGCTTGGCCTGGACGCCCTGGCAGACGCGCCGCGAGCTGGCCAGTGGTTCCAGGAGCAATTCGCCATGCTGGTTCGCAACGCCAACCCGCCCATGCCTGCTGGAGAGGTGGACCCGCCCCCGCCTGCTGACCCGTGCATGACCGACCCGCAGACAAACCCCGCGTGCGATCCGTTCTGGAAGAACCTGGCAGTCAAGTACTCGCCGCAGTACAAGTTCCACACCGATGAGACCATCTGGCCAATCACGATCGACGATTACCTCACAAATGACTGCCTCCAAAGGCTTTTTTTCTGAGGATGGTACAGATTATGAAATTGAATACGGAGGCACGACGTTGTATACCGTCATTTACAATCCGAAACCCGACGACCAAGACCCGTTTGTGGAGATTCAGTATTGGCTCTTCTACCCTTAGGTGAGTATTCCAAGAACTTCCGTTTGCCTCCTCCCCTCTCTCACTCCCACACCCCTTTTTTAAATGCTGTCAATCTGTTTCAACTATTCAACCCTCCTCGTTTGCAGAACTATGTCAACCGCCTTGCTGGGAAGCACAACCATGTAACGGACCTGGTGGCGATTGCAATCCGCTTCTCAAAGACCGGCCAGCCGCAGCGCATTTGGTACGCGCAGAACGGCGACGGCCCCGTGTGGGCGTGGGATGAAGGGGCTGACTGGGACGATCCCAAGTCAAAGAAGTTTGCTACGGTGATGGGAACGCATCCCATTGTGTATGTCTCGGAAGGAAATCATGAGCATTACCATAAAGTCGGTGAGTAGTAGGTCAAGGAACACTCTCTATCTTGTCCGCCCCTCATCTAGGCAAAGGCTGAACCCTGTTGGTGCTCTGTTTTTCTCTTTCATTCGCAGGTGATTTCAATTGCCAAGTACTTCAGAAGTTCATTTGTTTCGATTTCACGGCCAACGGAGGAGTCGTATGGACGCCCAAGGACAACCCGCAGTCCTTTGAGTTTGTTCACGTGAAGAGCGAGATGTCCGCTTCCATGCCGAATGCAGACCGCGCGAAGCTATTCACGGGGAGGAACAAACTCAATATGGTAAGTGGATGACTTTCAAGGGGAAAATTGGTGGATATGGTAAGTGTGTTTCTCCTTCAACCAGAGTGTGTTAAGAATGCGTTGGACGATGGGTGCTGACTTTGTTTGCATTTGTTCCAGTTGGGATTGAGTTATTCAGTGGGGGGGAGCTCGTCGACACCTAAGTCAAAACTGGAGTGAGCGCGATATCTTTCCAGAAGCTTGTGTCTGGCTGGCTGCTGAACATTTTGTATGTTGTCATTCTTTGGCATGGCATATCGGCCTCTAATTTTACTTCTTGTTGCGCTAGGGAATCTTAAGTGGGTTCCCTGAGGGGTGCTTGCTGTGAGAAGAGGCAGCTTGACACGAAGTGGAAGTGTGGCAAGGGGCTGACATGGTTTGAGTGCGGAGGGGACCTTCTCTTCAGCGAAGCGACTCTCCTGGCCCCTTGACGCTTGACAACGACCAAGTTCCATCCACGACCATAGAGTTAGCTCTGAATGAAATGTGTCGTGCTCCTCCTCTTGTTGCAAGTTGCCGAGGGTCCGTGCTTACTCCAGCTACCAGTACTTTCCCTGAACTGAAGTCTGGTGTGGGTGGGGATGCCCATGAATGACATATTTATTAAGCTCTGTAACCAGGAGGAGTGTAGTGCATGACAAGTTCACCATCTCCATGAACGAATATAATAACTCCAAGTTCACAAACGCACATCAAGGACTAACACGTGACCATGCAAAAAGGAATGCTTCATCATCCTATGAACGGTCGCAACAATCTGGCACAGGGTGGCAACAAGTTGACGCGGTGTGACTGGGTAGAGCATTCCCTCATCCATAACTGTCATCTCTTCTTGACCAGAGTACTTATCAGGGCTGCTCTGCACACCGGGCTCTCTAACGTGGCACCGGGCAAGAATAGTCATGAGTTAGCTACTGAAGGCACTGACTGTGTCGGGCTCCTCTTGTTGCAAGTTGCCTAGTGCCTCCCATTTCCCTAGTGGAGTGATGTGTAATGTGTTGCTGCGGTTCCCGTAGTGGAGTTGTTGCCTTGACGAGATGTTGCCTTGTTTCCCACGGGAAGCATTGAATACATTCTATTCACCGGTGCCAGCAACAGTCCCAACCACACCACTGCAACCACAACACAAACCCTCTCCTCACCCAATGTAAACAATAGTACACCCAATATTCAACCTGCTTTCCGGCTCGTGCCGCGAAACCAGCGGGCTGCCCGAAAGATATTTCAGCACAGCTGCCCGAAGCACGCCCGTGCCAAGCCCATGCACAATGAAGAGCACAGCACCAGGCGGGCTGGACTGCACTGCTAGGTCCACCGCTGCTAATGCATCCTCTGCACTCCGCCCCCTCACATCCACTGTGTTTCGCGCTGTCTGTACCGCTGCCTCTCTCACTGCTGGCAGAGGGGAGGAAGAGGAGGAGGACGGGGAGGGGAACTGACCGCCACGCTTGGAGACACGAGACTTATTTGTGTTGGTGTTGCTGTTGCTGTCGTCATCTTGCTCCCATTGACTGCCAAACAGTCTTCCTGTTCCCCCCCTCCTTCCTGCCTCTCCATCTGTCCTGCTCTGTCCACCATCACCACCGCCATCGGCGGCGGGAAGGAGGTCTGCTCTCTGCACTTGCAATCGCAGATTTCCCAGTTGAACCATCACAGACCGAGCAGCTGCTGTTTCTGCCGAGGCCTCTCCCGAACCACCGCCCACTGCCACCACCGTACCACGCATACTGGTGCCGAACCTCCTCACATACACAGGCTCTCCCAGAACAGGAACCCAGTCAGCCCCTCCCAAATCCCCCCCCAAGGAACCAACTGAAGCATCCGAACCGAAAGCAGAATCAGCCTCGGGAGAGAGGCCAGTCAAAGCAGCCACCGCTGCCACGTCAGCACAGGCCTGGTCTGTCGCCGCCCGCTCCGGGACACCAGCAAGGGAAGCTTCCTGGAAAGCGGCAACAATGCGGGAAATCTCCTCCCTCGCTGCCAAAACCTCCTCCTGAACGTCCCTCTGATACCTTCTCTTCCACAGCACCTCTCTCACATGCAGAGGCTGCTCCTGCTGGCCCTGCTGCGAGGTGCTTCTGCTGGTGTAGTGCGCCTGAAGGTCTTTCAGGAGTCCCTCTGCTTGTTGCCTCGCCTCGGCTGCCTCTCTCGCATCCTCCACGTTCCGCTGCCACTGCTGCTTGAGTGATGCCAGTATTCCCACCTCCTCACCCTCTCCCCTCCCCCCTCCCAGGGTAGCATACTCGTCTGTCTCACTCTTCCCCGCTTGCCTGTCCTCCTCTTCTCCTGCCTCCAAAGTGGCAGCACGGGCAAGCCTGGCGGCTCTAGCCACGAGGGAAGGAAGCAGGCCGCGCGAGGCAGCGAGGGAGAGGGCGTGGGAGGTGCCGGGGAGACCCCAGAGGATGTGGAAGGACGGGCGCAGGGAGACCGGGTCGAACGCCACACTGGCGTTCTCGAATCGGGAATCGGCCGCCTGACGGAAGGAAGGGACAGGATGGGAAGGGTGAAGGGAAGAGGGCAGGTGTTAAAAGACTGGTCAGACAGAGGAGAGAGCATGGGAAGGCCCTTGTGTAACCTGAGTTTCTGGAGGTCAGTGTTGAGAGGTGGCGAACGAGCCCATTACGCCCTGCCAGTACTGACAGCTCTCAAAACTAGACAGGCACTCAAACATTCCTTCTTCCCTCCCCCTCTCCCTTCCTCCCACTCTCCCTCCCTCCCCACCTTGAGCTTCTTGTGGTCAGCGTAGTGAGTGGTGGAGAGTGTGAGCCCATTGCAGCCTGTCTCAAAGACGTATCCCACTTTGAGACGTCTCAAACCCTGACAGACACACCTTGTCTTCCCACCGTACCTTAAGCTTCTTGAGGTCGGCGTAGTGGGTGGTGGCGAGAGTGAGCCCGTTGCACCCCGCCAGGTGCTTTAGAATGGCCGCTGCTAGCGCTGCTCCCTCTGATGGGTCCGTGCCACTGCCCGCCTCGTCCAGGAGTACGAGAGACGAGGAGGAAGGGGAGGAGGAGGCGGAGGAAGAAGGAGACGGAGAGGAGGGCGAGGAGGGCGAGGAGGGCGAGGAGGGCGGGGAGAGCGAGGGGAGCGAGGAAGGAGAGGAAGAAGGCGAGGAGGCGAGGAGGATGCGGGAGACTTGGCGCATGTGGGCGCTGAAGGTGGAGAGGCTCTGCTCCAACGACTGCTCATCTCCAATGTCCGCCACCACGCGGTCAAACCATGGCACCACCGCCACTCGCCCCTTTGCTCTGCTCGCTTCTCCTATTCCCCCACTCTCGCCCCCACTCCCTCCTCTCCCTCCTCCCCTCGCTCCCCAACTCTCCACTTCCCCTGCCTCCTTCCCGTCCTCTCCGCTTCCCCCCGTGCCCTGGCCCGCCTCCTCCCCTTGACCACCCCCCGCCAGGGGCAGGAAAAGCCCTGCCTTGGCCATGAGCGCGGCAATCCCGAGGGTCTTGAGGGCGGCGGTCTTGCCGCCCGCATTGGGGCCGGAGATGACCACCACTGCCACGCCGGCTGGCACCAGCAGGTCTATGGGCACCGGGGGAGTCGCCTGGGGTGATGCTGCTGCTGCTGCTGCTGCTGCTGCTTCTGCTCCTCCTCCTGTTGCTGCTACTGCGTTGGTGTCTGCTGCACCTGTGCTTTTACTCGTCCTATTCTGAGCAGCAGCACTGAGGGCGTCAAGATGCATCTCCAGCAGAACTGGGTGCTGTATCCCCCGAATCTCAACCACGTAAGATTCGATTTTGTAGGATTCTCTCCCTGCAAGGGTATTTCTCCCTGTATCACTGTCCCCAGGCGTATTTACCCCTGAGAAGTTATCCCCATGGCCATGGGAGAGACGGTGTGTGGGTGGAAGGAGGACAGGACGAGAGGCATCCATCCACAGGGCATGCCTTGCACGGGCACATGCCAGGTCCAGTGCAACGATCCTGTCCGCTAGATCTCGAATCAACGGCGCACAATCCGCCACCTGCTCAGCCATTTCCCTCAGCACCCGCCTCTCCTCCTCCGCCTCCTGCCCACTCAGCTCTGCTTCGTTATTGTTCAACTCGATAACCTCTACTGGCTCCACAAAGAGTGTAGCGCCGGTGTTACTAACATCTAAGGTAACCCCTCCCGGTGTTACAGCACTCTTCTTCCCTGCTCGCACTGCCACGCACCCCCTCCCTCTCCTCCTACTCACCTGAGCCTCATCCATCCCCCCTCCCTCCACAACACGTCGCGCTGCTCTCTGTAATGCTTCGTCCAGCTGGCGCCGGTTGTCCCGCCTGGCGGCGCGGATGGCTGCCAGCTCAGCGCTTGCTGAGTCAGCGAGGGACTTGAGGCGGGGGTTGATGGCGGTGCGGATGCGATGGAGGAGATAAGGACACGTGGCAGCAGAGGAGAGGAGGGCCGTGAGAGGGGCGAGATGCGAGGGGGTTGGGGGGGGGGAGGAGGAGGAGGAGGAGGAGGAGGAGGAGGAGGAGGAGGAGGAGGAGGAGGAGGAGGAGGAGGAGGAGGAGGAGGAGGAGGAGGTGGAGGAGGAGGAGGTGGAGGAGGAGGAGGTGGAGAAGGAGGAAGAGGAGGAGGAGGAGCAGAGAATGCCAGATTCATCTGGGACCAGCCCAATGCCCGCCCCTAGATCAATGCCTGATTGCAGGAGAGATGCCACTGACAGAAGCTCCGAGGGGGTTATGGTCATGGCCGGGGGGGGTGCAGCTGTGGCAGCACTGGCAGCACTGGCGGTGCTCCCATTAGAGTCCGCAGAACCAGAATCGCTGTCACTGCCGTCAACATCACTATCACTGCCAGAAGACGTGGCCATACCATCACCAACATCACTAGCAGCAGCAGCACGGTGGAGCCGTGCGAGCAACCCTCCCACGTCCACAGCACCGTTGAAGTCCAGCCGTCGTGGCAGCAGCAGCGCTGCCTCCGTCTGCAGCAGCAGCGCCTGGCTCTCCTCCCACGTTCGCCCCACTGCCAGCCGCCCCTCCTCCGCCTCTCTGTACCCCATTACTGTGTCCGCGAATCGCGCCACTTGGCGGCACACGATTGGCCATTCCAGCAGGTCTTTGGTATCCTGCTCGAGCTCCCACACAACCTTGGGAATGTCAGATTCCATTCCCACCCTGCTTCCGTTCCCAAACCTGTTCTCACCAGACCCCGTCCCCACCCCCCCTCTCCCAACCCTGTCCTCACCATACCCCACCCCGTCCCTCCTCCGCTCTCCTTCCATCCCACCCACACCCGACTCTATCACATCCGTTAGAGTCACATCTCCTACGCTGTCTCCTCCTCCGCTTGTAGCAACACCACCCGCTCGAGCAGCAAGGCCACGCCAGCGCGCAGCAGTGTAGCGGCGGCAGGGAGATGCGAGGCTGTGGCAGGGAGAGTGCCCGAGAGACCCAGCGAATCGCTCAGTCGGCCTGTGTGGGACCAACGGAGAGAGACCAAAGAGCGCACTCCGGCAAGAGGCCTGGTAAGGAAGCTTGAGAGGCAAGTGCAGTGCTGAATCGAAGCTGCCTTGCGACCTTCTTGAGCAGGCTGGCGGAAGTGCGAGCATGGGCCGCCTAGAAGGTTGCGACAGTGTCTGTGCTTGTCTGGACCGCCATGCCGTGGCTTGTAGCGGCATTGCTGTCGCTGCCAGTGGCGATGGTGCTGGCGATGGCAAGAGAGGTTGGTGGTGCAGACACAGCGCCATCGCAAGGTTGAGACTGTTGCTGGCAGCTGTTTCAATGACAGAGGGTGATCGCGAGCGATTGTGATCGACTTTGAGAGAATGTGAGCGATTGAGCGACGGAGCGACTGTGGGCGACTGTGAGCGACTGTTAGTGACTGTGAGTGGCTTAAAATACCGGCAGAAGCTGACGGCCGGCTGAGGAAACCCTAAAACGAGCCCCCGACAGTCACTTGACGATGGTCTGCGCGCCTCTGAGCGCGAGGAAGGCCTGCGCGTGCGGGTGGGGGAGCGAGCGCGCGATGGCGAAGGCGGCGGGGTTGGCGTAGCGCAGCTTGCTGTGCGGGTCCGTGTAGGGCGCCTCGAGCCCCGTTATATCGCAGTACTTCTTAGCGGGGTACATTGATGGCGGCGCCTCGATCGTCACGTCTGCGCGCGCACGGGAGGGAAGGGGGAAACGGGGAGAGGAGGAGATGGGGGAGGGGGGAGGGGGAAGGAAACAGGGAGAAGCAGGGAATTTGAATGAGGAGGGGGCGGGGAGGAACGTGAATGATCTCAGAAAGACCTGATTATCTAAATTGGAGAGGCCTTAGGTCAAAGCGGGAGAGGCCCGGGAACCGGGGAACAGCGGACGCGGAGGGGCCACGGCTCACGGAGAGGTGGCGTGAGAATCGGAGATTTCATGAAAATCCAAGCCGGCGTTGATTAGGGCAACAACTAGCAGAAGCGCAGCGCGGCAATCCCAAGGTAGAGGCGAAGAGCAACGCACAATTGGCTTCGTCGGGCGGCAGGTCGCTCAGGTTGTGCGGCTGCAGGATCTGCTTCAGGTGCTTCCAGTGCCGCCCGCCGCGCACCTGCGACCCGCGCGGGTACTTCTCCTCCAGCTGCACGCGCTTGAATGGTAGCGATGACGGGAGGAGGAGATCCGACAGCTGCGGTTCGTCCTTGGACTGCATGTGGATTGATAGATTAGGAGGCCGACTGGCGAAAGGCTTGGAAAAAAGCTGGTGGACAGGAGTAAATGGCTAAGAATGGGGACTAGTGAGTTGCGTACCTACTTATATCGAAGCACCGACGCTCTAACGGGCTGGAAACCAGTGCTGTAAACTCGCATGGATTTCGCAACATTTTGTTTTGGCGAACACGACTTCGCTTGTAGCTAGACGGGTGACCAGCTGGTTGCTATGTCAGTTGAACCTCCCAGGAAGCTCACTGACCAATCCCCGTCAAAAGGAGGCTTTTTGCAAAACAGAACCCGCAACGTATTCAGTATCTTATTTTCAGCAGATCAAAGAGTCGTTGCAGAACTGGGAGGGCTCATTGCAAAGCCCAAAACTGCCTCCAAGAAGCAATCCAATCCAATTCTCCCTTGGCCTAACTCGGTTGGAGAATGGCTGTCTCCTACAACGCCAACCCAACCCTTAGGTATAAAGGCCAACGCAAGGCATAAGTACCTGTACTCCAACATCCCACGTTTCTATCATTGTGATGTAGTCCACGCGCGTTTTGATGGGGCTTCCGAACTTGATGAACGTCATCGGCAGCTATGTGACGCACTTGGCATAGCGCTTGGAGTGGAGTGAGCCTCCTCGGTTCCGAATGTAAGTCATCAGTGACCTAATGCATGCCTGACAAAGGCGTCCGTTTTTTCGCGAGTAGGATTTGAGGTGATTGTTGGGAACGGGAATTGATGACATTTTCCCCCATGATCGAAGCTGATTCAACTGTGCTACTTTGGCCCATTAATGGGCCACCAAGCCAGTACCTGATCCCGTTCCTTCCCCTGCTCTTCTCTCGACGTCGCACTGACCATTTCATTTGGGCTGAGGTGATATCATTTTTATTTTCGTTGCTGCACATGAAGAAAAGAATATCCAACGCAGAAATATACTGTTGATATATCTCTAGAGCTTTTTAACCCTGATGCAGCGACACTTCTTCTGTTTACGTTTTGCCTACTTTTCTTCGGATTAGTGCCTTAGACAGGAAGAGTCGGTACGCCAGACTTTTATCCTGATCCCGGTCCTTCACTTGCTCTTTCCTAAAATCTGCACTGAGTGCATTCTGACTGAGGTGATTCTCCTGCATTTTCGTTCCTGCACATGATGCGTCAGAATACATCCAACGCAGAAATTTACTGTTGACTCGAAGAGCTTTTTAGCCCTGATGCAGCGATTATGCTCCTGTTCATGTTTTTCCGATCCTTTCTTGAGTCGGATTAGTGCCTCAGATGACGAAATTCTTGTATGATAGGAAGAGTCCGAATGCTAGGCTTACAGCCTGCGTATGTGGACCATCAAGGGATTTATCCGATGAGACTTGTCCGCCTCCTAGTATCTTTTTCATTACCATCCGCGTCGTCTTTCTGGCCCTCTTAGTTTTGATGTCATTCGTCTGACGAGTATGTTGGTGGAGGGAAATGAGGACATTTTCCCCTATGATCGAAGCTGATTCCACTTTGCTTACTCGGCTCTTACGAGCCACCAAGCCAGTAACTGATCCCTCCCCAGCGATTCTCGACATTGCACACCTTGTCAAAATTTGAACGTGCGAACACTGTCTAAATCCTCTGTCGTGTTCATGTGGGTGCAGGTTTCTTTCAAGACAGTTTTGAGGCACTGCAATTTGCGTTTGTATTCATTTGTACATAACGTTCCATGTTTTCACCCTATGTATTGCCTCTTTCCATAATGTTCCATCCAGTTTTTACTAATACCCCTGTCATGAACTTTCTTGCAAGATGTCACTAGAATTTGAATTCAGTTATTCATCACCTGTTGATGCATATCATTTGGAAACATAAGGACATTCCATCGAAACAACACATTCATACGTTGGATCTGCAACCGGAGACCTTAGCAAGTTCATCCTACAATCCTTATTCCTCTTCCTTGACACACACAGCTTCCCAAACGACCTCCGCAGCCTCCTTCCTCCTTCGCGACTCCCCTTTTTCCTCACATCCAAAACCAGTCTCCGAGCCACTGAAAGCAGGTTCCCCAATTCTTCAATATCTTTCTTCCCAAGATTCACCCGGCGGTCATGAGTCCGGTACTGCTTGCATGCCGGGTCATGATCACACGCAAACGGACCTACGCCTTGAAATTCCGCATCTTTAGCCGGCATGGGGGCAGGTCCGGCTGTGCACTGGTGCAGCATGTAGGTCACCCCGGCATTCACCGCCATGAAATAGTACAGATTGTAGAAGACTCCGTAGGGGGAAATTTCCAGGAGAACGGAGTCGGAGCGAGCGAACGAGGCGGGGTTGGTGAGGCCTGCGCCATGCAGGGAGACTATGATGTCTGCTGCCTGTACCAGAGCTAGCTGGTGAGCAAAGGTGAGCGGCGTGAACTCCACTTGGGCTACCTGGTGGGCAGGCATACAGGGTTGCAGGAAGGGGAAGTTGTGGGACAGGGTAATGGGAGGACCGCGATATATGGAAGACTGATGTGTTGGGGGTGATTGGAGAATGGGGAATGTCAAGATGGGGGATAGGATCAATTGAAAGACAGGGGTATGAGTGGAATTCGGTATGGGGGAGTAAGTGGAAAGTGAAGGGGAAGGGCACAACAATACTACTGGGCACTAAAGCAGCAGGACGGCCAGAGTCACATTGCGGTGGAGTGGGCACGTACCTGGAAGTTGAGCTGGTGAAACAGCTTGAGCAGAGCGCTGGAGCTTTCCGCACTCATGACACGGCGGCCGCGTGTGAGCGATGCATTGCGAGTGATGTACAGCAGGCGAACAGTGGTACCATCAGCTGAACTGCTCCCAGCAGACGCATCTCCCACAGAGGCATTTTCTGGAGACGCCAGAGCGCGGAAGGGGTCGGGGTCGGGGTGGGGGAAGGCCTCCTTGAGGCGGTGCTTAAACATGTCCGCCTGCTCCATGCCCCCTGGGAAGGTGATTGCCTGCATAGAGGTTCAAAAAGGCCGAGAGGATGTCGAGGCGAATTGTGTTTCAGCAATGTGGCGAGCTCAGGCCATCCAATGGAAGAAAGCAAACAAATGGAAGACAACTCCTGTATCATGTCAGGACGAAGGAAAGCAACCCTGGAGGGAGAAGAAAGAGAGTGAGACACGCAGCAGAAAATGGCTGAGGCCAGGCATTCAGGCAGTCGAAGCAGAGGGCAGAAAGAGAGCAGGCAGGGGCACCTTGAGGTAGCCTGGCAGCACAAGGCGATGGAAGCACATGGGATGTGCATCAGATGCCCTGCTGAATGCTGACTCAAACTCCACCGCCCCTGCTAGCACCTCCAAACCACCCCTGCTGGCACCAGTGCTTGCTGCTGCACCAGTGGACGCTCCCACTAACACTTCAGGCGAGATCGCATCGGCTAGAGATTGAGGGCTTCGTGGGAGCGACGGGATGTGATGGGAGGAAGCAGTGTGGTTGAGGAGGGGCTCGAGGGCGATGCGCAGCAGCATGTGCAGCACGGAGGGGATCCACCCCCGCTGCCCGTGCTGCCTCATCCTGGTTGAGAGACAGGGATAAACGTGTCAGGAATATCAACCGGGGAGAACAGGAGGACAGGGAGGTTCAGAGGGAGGCAAAGAGGGCCCACCAGAGTAAGATGTGAATCAGATGAGAACGATGTGGATTGTGCATGATGCACACGAAAGGAAAATTCAGAAAGTTCCTACACGCGCCAGAAAAGGCTGTGCAGAAACGAAAAACGTTGGATAAGGGAGACGTGGGGAAAGCACAGCAGGCAGACACCTGGAGGCAGCAGCAGGGGTGCGTGGCAGGAGGAATCGTGTGATGACGGGGAGAGCCGTGGGCGTTGATGCATTGTTGACTAGCAGTATCTGAGCCACCTTCCCTGCCGCTCACATCATTCACACCCCCCCCTGACCCTCCCCCATCCATCCTCCCAACAGCCCCCCTCCCCCGCACGCGCACACACGCAGACACAAACACGCCCATGACCGCATATGTGTGCACACATTCCCACACACACACCACCATTATTGCCCAAGGAGGCACACATGCACACACACACACATATGTGCAAGGAGGGAGCCAGATTGAGGTGGTTCACGCAGAAATGCCCATTAGCAAGCACAAACATATTTGAGAGCAGCAGCAAACAACAGAGCCTAAAAGACAGAAAATTCAGCACGGGTTGCACAGGCACAAGAACCCAACCCATCCCAACAGTCTGCCAAAGAAAAGAGTAACAATGGTGATTGGATCAACCGGAAGCGATGGTGTGGCATGGCGCACGCACCAATGAAGTGAGCCACATTGGTGGTGGGGTCGTCCAGAGGTATCAGCAGCGTGCTGCCATCCCGCCACTCTGCCGACCCTCCCTTGTCCCTGTTCCCTCCCCCCGGACCAACCCACTTGCGCCACGTGTCCTCACTGGCAGCGTGCAGGCCTCCTCTGATGGGGGCTTCGGTAAGAGCCATGTTGAGATAGGCAGCGAACTCTGCCTTGCGACTGCAGGGGATGGGAGACAGCACGTCTGTAATCCCACTGCTGCTGCTGCTCGCTCCGTCAGGGGAAGGCTGTATCTGGTTCAGGGTGTACTGAGGCGGAAGGCAGGGGGGTGGAAGAGATCCGGGATTCTGTCTGTTTCTGCCTGAGGTTGGCTGAGGGGTGGGGGCGGAGAGGAGCGCGGAGCCGTTGAAGCAGAGCGAGTGGCAGACGCAGAGGGCCTGCTTGCAGCAGTACACGTTGCGCACGCGGTAGCAGCTGCAGCCCGAGGTCGGCGTGAGGTGAGGGGTATGGAGAGGGGAGAGACGGGATGGTGGGAGAGTTGTTGTGGTTTCGGAGGAAGCGGATTGAGGAGTGAGTGAGGGAGAGGGGGAGAAGTTGGTGGACGGGGAGGAGAATTTGGAGGAGTGAGTGAGAGTGGTTGGAGTTGGATTGGCAGGTGGTTTGTTATTCGCGCTGACAAATGGAGGGTTTAGAAGCAGGCTGGTCGCGGGTGGAGTGGCTGACATTCTTCGGAAATGGGACGCCTGGACACAGCGCGAGCATAACATGGAAAGGGAAATGTGATGCAAACGGTGGGTAGTTTGGGCAGATACGGACAGATCGTGACGGTAACGACGATATACCGGACGGGAATAGATTAGTATCGAGTAAGTATCACTGAACACATTGCTGAGGAGAGTAAGTTACCTTTTGGCTGAATAACCGTGGCACCACGTGCGAATGCCACAATACGAACAGCGCAGCTAAAGCCGTGACAGCAAGCAGGATGCCTCTCGCGCGGCCCATGCACAGCAATCGCCGCGATGGACTCCATGACGCAGCGCCGAAAATATCCTGCCGTACTGACGTCAGTCGAGTTCTCTGATGCGAATGCGATGCAGGATTTGAGCCCCCGATAGGCTTAGACTGGTTGCGAGAGGGACGCCATAGACCATGGTGACGAGCTGAAATGGTGTGCAGATCGTTTGCATCATCGGCCCTCATGATTGCCCGCAGATCGTGGCGATCATGGGGTGCCGTTGGGAGTATGTAATGGAATCCTTGACGAGGGACAATCTCGAAAACAAATGCACAGCTGAAATCTCTGTTGGAGCAGCCTCGTTACAAAATATTGAGGTTACGAACAATACACAGAATACACAACAAAAACAAAGCTATATGCTCGTAATTTGTGATTCTATTGTCCATCACAGTGATTGTAACACTGTGGTATCGCATCTCGACCTTGGAGGAATCAGCAGGATGACGCAAGCTGCGGGTTACTATGAGGTGGCGCTCCTCGATCTTTTGCTGGACCGCCGCTACTCACGCGTGGAGGTGACTCATTGGATCCGCGGTGGCGGTGGCCCATAGGGGCTGCATGGGACGGATGTGCCAGCACTGCATCCGTCGCCTTTCGTTGCTCATTTCGCGAACTCCAAGCCGTCTCCCGTACCGCTTCGCAGCACGTCATCGTCGCCCACCATATGTGGCTACCGTTGATTTTCAGCCCTCGCGCTTCCATCTAGAACCAATCTCGGCCATGCAAACCTCAGCCATGCGATTTTCAGGGTGGAATATGATCCTCGTGCTTGACGACTCTGGGATTGGGAATTGCTACACTGCATGGCACGAGACGAGTCTCTCCAGCAAGCCTCCCTTCTCTTCTCCCGCAAGCAAGGAGTGTACCAGCACGAGCACAGCATGGCACATTCCGGCCCAACACAGCAGCCTCGCCTTATAAAAACAGGCAGCCATTTCCACACACGCCATAGCACGTCGGAGATTGCACCGTTTGCGGCGGATTGTGTCGCCACTCCCGCATTACTTTGCTTCGGCTTTCTCTACTTCCTGGAGGGTAGAGTAGGCAAGGGACTGACAACTTGTATGTAGTGGAGGGAGGCCGAGCGGCTACATTGTTGCACTAAGAATCACGGGGGAAACTGCTGTTGATCCGCCGCGACCGACGTGCTGGCACACCTGATTCTGGAAACTTCGTCTCGTTTTCATGGTCATCGTATAGCTCGACGAGATTCCCCAGTCAGTCATTTCCAGTCCTACATTTGAAATACGCACCGCTAGGCAGTCTCGACAAAATTGTTCTTCCCGTCCCCGTCCTGATTTCCGGCATGTTCCCGTCTCCGTGCATTGCGCTGAGCAGCACCACCTCATTGTTCGCCGCGAATCTAGCAGCCCTGTCTACTCCACCTTCAAACACCGCAAGCCACCGTACTGCCAGGCCCCATGGCCCGCAAATCTCAGCATCTGCTGCTCCTTCTGCACCCGGTCTTGTTGCAGACAACTCCACTGTTGCGACTCTAGAAGGAAGCCTAAGCCTGCAGAGCCCGTGCTTTGAAAGCCGTCTGAGCGTCGGAGACGCCGCTACTGGCATGCTGAATGGTGGTGGGGACACGTCAGACTCGGACAGAACAGGGATTGTAATCTCGTCGTCGGAATACAACATGCGGATGAAACGAGCCATGGCTAACCCTTACGAGTATCACCATCACCTTGGTAAGCTCACGTACTTTGAATGACTTCGTAACCTATTGCTTCAACTGAGATAATGCTTTTCGCTTGCCAATTCCAGCAGCACAAGACCTTCTCATGCGAGTACCCGCAACACGCGCATATTTCTAGATTCGTATGTCTAGACTGGACTTCAGCACGCTAAAACTCACTCACAACGTGGTGCAGGCATGTACTATACGCGGATCGCGCAGCATCTGCTGGTGGGCTCTCAGCCGCAGAGTCCGGACGACATAGAGCGGCTGCAGCGCGAGGAGGAGGTGGCGGTGGTGCTGAACCTGCAGCAGGACCACGACATCGCGTACTGGGGCGTCGACATCCACCGCATCACGCACCACTGCCGCCAGCTGGGGCTCAGGCACTACCGCCGACCCGTACGACTCCCATGCTCATTCCTTCCTGACCAGTTGGGTGATTTTTGGGGAATTGTTATCTCATGCGGCTTGCCCCCATTCTCCTTGCTAGCGTGTGCCATTAAAATCCATTTTCTCTTCCTTACCTCCCCTCGCCCTCTGTTCCCACCTGGCCCTGTGTGCATCAATGTCCCCACCAGGCGGTGGACTTCGACCCTCACTCGCTGAGGCACCAGCTGCCAGGAATGGTGGCGGTGATAGAGCACCATGTGTCCGGGGGACGCACTGTGCTCGTGCACTGCACTGCTGGCCTCGGCCGCGCGCCTGCTGCTGCCATCGCCTTCCTCTTCTGGTTCCGTGACATGGACGTGAGTCGCTCTGCTGCTGTATTGACTCACTCTGACTGCCCTACACTGTTCAACTTCCCTTTGTACACTCTTCAGTTCAAGTTTGTCAAGGCTTGATCCCCGTCCAGTCCACCCCTCCCAGTCCTCAAACCCTGACCCTTATACCCCACACTCTCCTCTGCCTGCTTCCCTACAGCTGCGGACAGCATATGAGATGGTTACCACGAAGCGGCCATGCGGCCCGCGCTGGGAGGCCATACGCGGCGCCACATATGATCTGGCAGACAGCCGGCCGCAGCACTGCCGCCCACCACTGGAGCACCTGCCATCACATGCCTTCTCCGATGTGTCTCAGGAGGAGAGGAGGACAATTCAGGGCAGAGTGAGAGGGTTGTACCATGGGTGACCCTGGGCTGGGGGTCAAAAGGTGCACTCAACTTTTGCTGGAAGATCTTTCAAGGATGTGCTGTACGGTAATTTGTGGGGTTGATAGGTGATTTATCTGAAGGCACGGGTAGTAACTTGGCTTGGGTATTCCACGATTGAGGTACTGCTAGCTGTATATAAGTTGCATAGTAGCTATTACTGGTATAGCTTGTCGGGTTGGTCCATTTGTTTACTGCATGCAATGCATGGTATGGTATGGTGCCATGAACAGAAGAGGGAAAGGCTCACATGAACCACACATGAATGACTACCACATCATTCAATCCTGTGCAGCTATATACGGTAGTAGAAAACAGTAACGTGAATCAAGGTAATGGTGTGGAAGCAGGGAAACCTGGCAAGTCTTGGAAGAAAACACTCTCAGATACCATCTTGTCCACCTCTTCTTGTGTTGCCTGCCGCCCTATGATTCTCTGGCAACACAGGTACAGTACGGTAGAACATGCAATAAATGTGAATGAGAATGAAGTACTGTACATGTTGTAAGTGCCAAACGGTTGTTATGTGTGTGGGCTGGGCTGTGATAGCAAGATTGAAGCATAGACTGTTGTCGTACATGAGCCAATGAAGCACGGGGTCCGGTGCACTCCCACTCGAGGAACCTAGGGCGAGAAACATCAGTCGCAGAGTTCCATGTGCCCCACCCCTCTGCCTTCACCACGGCTCCTATGTTGCACCCATGCAGCAGCACACGCGCATCTGGACCCCATGGCCGTCCCAGCAGCGCACAGCTGTCAGGCACTGATGCATCTGCCGCTGGAAAAATTGCAAGGGGGAAACAGGAGGGCAAGGCAGCAAAAAGAATGGGTATCGATGGTCCAAAGGGCTTGGTAATGTGAAGAACACACTCGTTCCAGGCGATGGGTTGAGAGCCATAAACCCTTGGAGGAGGAACTGGAGGAGGCATTGAGTACCTTGAATGGAGCATGCATCGAAGACGAATGCACCATTGGTGTCGTCAGGCCACTGGGTGAGATCCCTGCGGTGAGCTGTCATCCACCCCCTGCCCCTTACTGCCACCTCACACCCCTTCCAGTAGCCTCGTGCCTGACCACACAAGCGGCGGGCAGGAAAAAAGAAACACTGGATCACAGGAAATAAAATCACAGAATGCATGGGCTTGGGAGGCGTCTATAGTCTCCATCAGCAGGAAACGGGAAGGAAACTGAGAGCAGGAAGAAAACTGGTGGCAACAGCAGGCAAGGGAAAAGCAGACACTCCAGTTCTCCTCACCTTGGGTCCTCCAAAGATAAAGTCCACAGATCCCTCCACTCGGCAATCCCTGAACCACGCGCTGCCACGGTGCAAGTAGAGCGTATCCTGCCACCCCAGGAAGCTGCACCGGTGGAACGCTGCTCGCTCCGCTGTCACCCGCACTGCCACCGCCTGGTGCTGCCCTGATGCGCCCCCACACTGCGGTCCTGCTGCGTTCTCAAACACTATCCCCTCTGCTGTGAAATGGCTCGCCTCCACCTGTCAGGGGAGGAGAAGGGTAGGAGAGCAAGAATGACGGACAGTACCGAGGAGAAATACATGCGTAGTAGAAGGCGAGCAACAAAAAGGGTGGTATGAGAAAGGCGGGTTGTACGGGGAATGGATAATATTCGCTTTCTTCTCACCGCAAAAGTTGCAGAAGTATATGTCGTGTAGCTGTCAGCAGCACTGGCATCTTTCCCTTTGATACTGCCACTGCCGCTGACGCCGCCGCTGCTGTGCTTAGGTTTCCCTGCATGTGCGTCAAAGACTATCCGGACCTCCCCACCACCAGTGCTCACTTCTTCAACTGATGCCGCCCGCAGCAGAATGTGCGTCTTATTGCAGGGGACTCGTACCTGGCGAGCAAAATTGGTTATAGGTTTGAGCATTGGTTAATCATGCACAAGGGGAAAACAGAAAAGTGCAGCAATCCGTGCACATACGAATACTGTCCCTCCCGCCCACCTGCTCAAAGTATGTGCCTGGCTGGACTGCAATCACAGTGGTGTGCTTCCCTCCAGACTCCACTGCATCAATGGCCTCCTGCACCTTCGTGAACCACTTTACTGTACCATACACACGGTCAAGAGCTGAGGTAATTGCTTCTGGCGCCCGTGCACCCACAAGAATCATTCTTGTGGTTTCTTTGGTCGTGGCAGGAGTAATTTCTGGAGACAGCAAAATGAGTGAGCATTGGGTTAGACACCATGGTGATGCTCTGCGACAGAAGGGATGTGCGGATGAACGCCTCACATTGACGGCCTTAGACAGACACTATACCTTCAATTGGAGGACGAGGGGTTCCGAGTGGGCCGTCTTCATTAACAGAGCACGGTGGCGCTGGCCCAGGAAAGGTCGTCCCTGGGCAGTCCGTTTCATTCATTGCAAAAAAAGTTCGGCAGTCTAAAAATGGGGCAACCTCAGCTTCTGAAGGCTCTTGGCCGATGAATCGCGGTGATTCTGAGGGAGGATCTTTATGCATTGTACGCCTCTCTTGGTCTGAAGGTTGATTGGTGGCGGAAGAAGCATTCTGCAACAACAAGGCCATCACAACAGGGACGCTTATGGTCAAGCACAGGTTATGGGGGTCTCACCAAAAGCTCATGATTCTGTTGATCATGAATGGTACTTACGATTGAACCAGGCCCCACACATCTGAACTCCCAGAACGTCGGCCTGTTAATGTCAGTGGAACCGTCCCAGCGGTCCCAACCACGCCGAGGCACACACTGACCAATATAGCAATGCGATAGGATGACCCGTGCATCCGGGCGCCAGGGGCGGCCAAGGTAACAAGGACCCGTTGTACTTGACATGCCTGAAATCATTATTTGGAAAACATGATACAGTACATTATCAACCAGACTTAATCATGGCAAAGTAAGAACACACTCACCATCAAAAGCGCAACACTGAAACACAAAAGCGCCAGTGTCTCGTGGATAAGTGTCGAGGTCTCGGTAGTGAGCTGTGAATGTGCCTTGAGCCTTGGCTAGAATTGAACATTTAAAGAAAACTGCTTTGACATTTGGCCCTCCAAAAACAAAATCCACGTTTCCTTCGATAATACTTCTGGAGAAGTACTGCAAAAACATGCAAGAAAGGGGCCAAGAAACAGAAAAAAATCCAGAGTTGATTGTAAAATTTATGGACTTTTTATTTATGTTTACTTCAGCTTTAACATCGCGAGTGAGTTTAGCGAGTCCGACCCCCAATCTTTTCCTCGTCGCGACACATGTGACGCGGTGGCACATTTGTGAGTTGCTCCTGGTTCGTCATAAAAACCAGATCGAAGGGAATACCGTCATTTTCACACAAACTTTTCGTAACAAACCATCCACCGAAACGGATGGCTCGAGACGAGATCGTCGAATACCGGTCTCAGGTCGGTCGACAATTCCAAGATCGAGTACTCAAATGCTTTCAGTAAAACTCATTTTTTTCTCTCAGGATGTGGTTCCCGCATCACCAAGTGCCATCTCGAAGAAGCGAAGATTGATGAGTGCAGCAAGTGTTGAAACACACGCTACCCACACTCAAAGTTTCACCAAGTATGAACAAGTCTGTGACGTATATAAGCAGATCGAGAGACAGCTAGTACAAGGTAACGATCCCGCTCATCGTTGCTCTCAAAAGACTTGTTTTTACCAGTTTCTTTTTCTTACGTTGGCTTCCTTTACAGAGGAAGGAATTCGTCGACTTTTGGATGATAAGTTTGGAAAGCAGGATCTCTTGATAGAAGAGCTGAAGACAGCGCTCGTCCGGTTACAAAACGAAAATGCATTGGTGAACGCTAACGCCAGCGAGAGTATGTGTTTTCCCTATTGCTTACCTTCGTGCGAGATTTTGTCAAACTAAAAACGCCGTTGATGCAGGCCGTAAGGAATGCATGCGTTTAAAAAGGCTGGAAGCGGAATTAAAGTCCTCTCTTGAACTCAAGAAGCGAGAAGCACAAAAGTACAGCTCTGAAAGAGGTGAGACTCACCGTTACGATTTCGTCTTCTTCACAGATGGCTAACAATCGTACTCGCTATTGTGTCAGATACTTGGGTGAAACAAGCACAGTCATCACAGGCAGCATATCATGTCAAAGAAAAAGAGTGCGAAGAGCTTGCTTCAACACTTATGCAAAGACAAGTGGAGGTGGAAAACTATAAGGAAGACATGAAGCAGCTTGAGCTCTCCAACACTTCCTTGGTACAGCAGCATTCCTGGGGAAACCAGTTGCTTTTCAATAAACACAAAGACTTACTGTCGTGTATTCTTGCAGTCGAAGGAGATCTCGCGCCACCAGGCCACCATAAAGTTATTACAGACAACCTTGGAACACAGAAATGATGAAGTGAAAGAGCTCAAAGCTCATGTCGATCGACTTTCAGCGGAGCTGGGTGCACTTGATAGTGTGAACGCACTGTCAACGCGGAATGCAGATGCCATTCTGAGCCAGTTAAGCTCTTCAAATGTTAGGCTTCAAGAAGAGAGGATTAAAAAGGAAGAACTTCAACAGGAGCTGCATGAAGCACGCAAGGAGTGTGAACAGTTGCAAGCCCGGGTTCAGCAAATGGAACAACAATCAAAAGGTAAATGATCTTAGCCGGACTGGTCTCGTTCACTCGTATCATGCTACAACTCAATCGCGTGTTGTTTTTAACAGAGGCAGAAGAAAAATGGAAAAAGACCATGTGCCAGCTTGAGTCCGAGCACGGTCAGTCCAAGGAAAAAATCAGTCAGCTCCTGACAACATTGCAAGACTTGGAGGCCAGAGCCAAGGAAGCTGGGAGCGAAAAAGAGGAGCTTCAAAATCAGCTGGAAGCATTGGAAAATAAGGACAGGAATACAACACAGGAGAAGGTAACAAACTAGCAGACGTTCATAGCAAAAGCTCTCGAGTTCGCATCTCACAAGCCTTTTCTTTTGCAGGAAGGATTGCAAGCCGAGTTGCAGTGCTTAACCACAGAGTTGAAAAGCACCAAGGAGTCCTTGGAAGCAAAACTATTTATGCTTACGACAGAAAATCAGGAGCTATCTGCAGCTGTTGCAGCGAAGACAGAAGCTGAAACCCAGCTCGTCTCTGGGAACGAGACACTGAAAGAGAACCTTGAGGCGAATGAAGCTGCATTGAGCCAGATGAAGGAACAAATTGAGACACTTGAGAAGGACTACAAGGAGGTAAGTACACAGAGTTTGGTGTCTCTTCCTTAAATATTGCAAGAAACTTACCAGAGTATTGGAATTCCAGTGTCAGGAGAAGCTGCTGTCAGCAGAGAAGCAAGCAAAGGATCTGAAGAGAGACTACCAAAGGCAGATGCAATCAAAGCAGCTTGAACTGCAGAAGCATCTTCAAGAAATTTCAAGGCGCAATAATCTCGCTATGGCGGAGATGCGGAAAGAATTTGAGACAGAGGCAACAAGGAGTGTGGATGAAGAGCGGAAAAAGGTGTGCACATGGAAGATTTGTCGGCTCATAAAGTGGTCACCACAAGTTGAATTTACATCCATTGCCATGTCACAGGATCAAGATGCACTTGAGAGTGCCAAGAAGAACCTCCAGAACCAACTGGCAGAAGAGAAGGAGAAGTATGGAGCCAGGATCAAATCCCTCCTCGAGAAAAACAAGTCACAGGTAAGCTTGCCTCTACTTGCCTGGACAATGCCAAAATCTGAGGCAGATCGGCTTACAGCAGTCTTAATAGGTGTCGGAGCTTGAAGAGACCCATCGTGCATCATTCGCCTCGTTTGTGAAAGAGACTGAAATCAAGTTGCGGCTTAAAGAGGAAGAGTGCCTGGCTGCTATTGATAAGGTGAGCTGGCTGTGCGTTGATAAGGTGAGCTGGCTGTGCATTGATGAACTGACTCCAAGCATCTAAAGCTATCCTCTGCAGGTTGAGTCAAAGCTTCAATCTACAGAGGATTTGATTACGAGACTAAAGCTCCAGCAGAGCGAAGAGATGGCGACTGCAAGAGCGTTGATGGAGCAACAACATGCTGAGGTAAGCACAAGTATTATTGTGCTCACAAAACGCACCAATATAAACCTTCTAACACTGGTTTCCATGTCAAGGCCATTGCATCATTGACGGAAGAGCTGGAAGGGAGGATTGAGTTGGCCAAGACAGAACGTGAGGAAGCCCTTGACATTCAGTTGGAAGTAATGACACGTGAATCCACTGAGGTCAGTGTACTTGCGTACCTGTCTAAGCATGAGCATTTTGGCGAGTTCCCAAAGTCATAACAATTCTGCTTGCTGCAGCTCAAAGACAAGTTGACATCTAAGGATCGAGAGTGCCAAGAGCTCCAGGAGGTACACAGGGTTGATATGGACAAGCTGAAGGAAATCAATGAGTTGCGACAGTCAGAGGTAAGGCTTTTGTTTACTTGCTGCATTCGCATGTGCATTTACATTATTTTATGTGGCAAAGTTTCATTCGCAGCTGCAATCAAGGCTTCGAGGGATGGAAAAGAAGTGCAAGCAGCAGCAGGAAAACCATGAAGGCATGCTGCGTAATTTGCATGACGAGCTGGAGCGGTGCTTGGCAGAGGTAACGTAGCTAACCAACCTTGATATAGTTTTCGAAAATAAAAAGTATATTACCGAGTTTACATGTTGACTTGCTGCAGGCACAGGAGAAACTGGAGAAAGCTGAAAAGAAATCCATGCGACTTGAGGAGGAAAGCAGGGCCCGTGAAGCTCAACTCAAGGAGAGTTACGAGCAACAAATTGAGGAGGTGAGTCAAACAGCAAAAATCAAACTGATGTGCTCATTTTGCTTTACACCGACCCAGCTAACCAACATATCGCACCTTTGACAGTTGCGACAGAGTGAGATGAGATTGGAAGAGGAATGCGCAACAACAAGAGTTGAGGCGGAGGGTCATATCAGCAAACTTAAGATGGAACACGAGAACATGCTGAACAAGCTCAACATGGAGCATGAGGACAGTCTTAGAAAGACTCAAATGGAGCACGAGAACGTCATCAAGAAGAAAGATCTGGAGCACGACAGCATCCTTAAATCTATGAAGCTGGATCATGAGAACGCACTGAAAACTCAGCGTATGGGCTTTGACAGTTCTTTGAGGAAGAGGAAGCTAGAACAAGAATCCTCTTTTAAGTCACAACGTGACAGCTTGACAGAGGAAACGGTAAGGCTTTTAAACGCTGTGAAATGCGTTGTCAGCTCTTGGTCTTAATCAATTTTCCGAGTTAGTGCAGGCCAAGTCAGGGGAAGCCAAGGAAGCCATGGAGGCTAAGGATGTGGAATCAGGCAAAAGTCAAGCTGCGCTGCAACTGGAAAAGGTAGAAATGGAATGAGCAGAACGTCTGAGACATGGCTTTATGAGTATTGACTTATCCAGTATCTCGGTTGTGCACAGAAGTTGCAAGGCTCCACTCCTGCGTCCAATGGAGCAGCTGAAACACAGAATCTTACTTCATCGAAGACACTGAAGTCACGGGTGGGTTGTCCACGCTTGTGACTATGAGATTTTCAGGGTGAGCATTCTCTTACAAACTCTGGATCTACAGAAAAAACTATCGGGGAAGAAGTTGAGGCTCCAGCCAGCTATATCTACACAACAGCAGGATTTCGCTTTGGACGCAAAAGCTGCTACTCCCAAACAGGCAAGTACCCTTCAGCAATGCTTTACCTTTGCTGAAGAGAGAATCTTGACGAGCAATCGAACGCTTTGGTTTGCTCCAGTTGGATTTCGTCACCAAAGCTACATCTACGTTTTCTAAGAAGAAGAAGCTGAAGCACATGGTAATACATCTCTTATTATAACGGTTCTGCTATTTCCAATTCCTCTCCTGACAGCATCTTAAATTACAGGAAGCCGACTACAAGCCTAATGATTCCAAGGTGGACTTCACTAAGGTCTGTTCAAACTCCTGTTCATGCTTGCTCATTTGTTGATGCTTTGAAACCTACAAAGCTGACCACTCCACAGGTTACAACGGGATACAATGCTGACTGGCAGGTTTCCGAAGTTAATGTGGATGACCCCTACGCCTTCTGATGCTGGCTTTGGCACCATTGCTTACAAGCTCATGCACAATTTCATGTTCCAAGTGTCATTCAGACCCCCTGTGAATATTATTTCACTTTTACTTTTAGCAACAGTTTGTTCTACATGGTTGAAACTTCAAGAAAGCGTGGTTTCTTTGACAACAAGATAGGAATAATCAAATTCCATTCTCGACTAGGAGGGGTGCTCACCTGCCGCCCTTGATGGGCGTAAAGCGTCGCTTGCCAACTTCGTAGCCAGCAGCCATGGAGCTGAACCTCGTCCCCCGACGAGCGTAACGCCACTGCCTGGTTTTGCCCTGACTGACCGCCACAGCCTGGCCTTGATTGGTTGACGATCACAATGTTAACCATGATAATGCCTGAAGCCTCCACCTGGGAACATGGGGAAATGGACAATGATTGCGTAACTACGACTCGATGTTGGCATTCCTAGAGTGCTTGAACTCAGCAATCTCTTACCTGAACTGTCGCACAATTGTACGTGTTGTATACAAGAGTCGTACGATCGCCTAAAGCGCTCAGTGCATGCGGAGGTCGAGCCTTCCCGTCGAATGCGTCGAAACAGATTATTGTTGACCATGAAGGTCCAGCTCCGATGAATCTAATGCATTTCTTGGACGATGGAACTAGAACCTGACGGGAACGGTCACCCAGGGGGGCAAAAGCATTGTTAAACTTAGCGACTCACTAGATAACGCTTGAAACGTCATAACAGCAATATCCTGCAAATCTGGCAAAATTCGTTGCTTGTGGTTTGCGGACCTGTTCGAAGTAAGTGCCTGGGTCGATCTGTATGATCGTTGGTTGGCTTTTGCCTGGGATGGCGTCCACTGCATCTTGAATACTGGTGAAAGGGGCGGAGCCGTCTAGCGCAACACGTAGGGTAAGATGTCCCATCGAGTACGACGGTTGGTGCAAAACTAATTACGGTCGCTGCAATCTCGTGCTATTTGACGGAATATTTAGTTTTCGACTAGTGGACATACGAGTGTCGATCGACGATCTGGGTTATCTTTAAGGAAGGTGTTTGTAGTTCAGGAGGTACAGAAATAAGTCATCTTAGCAATCTAGTCATCGCTGCCTTCCTAATCAATCAAGTTCACCAAAGCGCAACTACTTTCTCCCCCCCAAATGGCTCCCGCGAAGTCGAGTTTAGAAGCCAATAGACAGCCTCCTGCCTCTTGAAGCATGGCATTTCCCCTCAAAGCCACCTTCACCGTGACAGACTCTGGAGTGTCCAAGTCCACCACTTCATGCTTGCCAGCAGTCACCCATCTATCTGTTCCATGCACATTTTCTCTTCTCACGAGCTTGCCTCTTCCTGCCTGTCCTCTTCCACGCATTCTACCAGGGCTGTCACCGTTACCCAGGTGAATCAAGTCAATGCAGTCACTCACAGCCTTTTCCGCCATTGCTTATCCCAACTGACTCAGCTGCGGTCGTTGAATCCTGTTTGTCATTTCGCAGGGTGGTCATGTTTGTCAAGTCAATAAATGGACCCCCTCTCCGTTGCTGAGCATTTTGTACTGCACTACGGTCCTGCACCCTGCTTCGCTTTCCCTTCTGCTGCTCCTTGGGCGGGTAGTCCTCCTGCTGCCAAACCCACAGCAGCCCATTCTCATTGCTTTTCACTGCTCCCCTGCTTCTGCTCTCCACAGGTTTAGCATCTGGTTTCTGGCAGCGCTTCAGCACTCCCACTTCCTGCCTTCCCGCTTCAACCACATCCTCCTCATGGCTCGCGCTCTGAACAATCTTCTTCATCTGATGCACCGCTCCCCTTGCTTGTATCTCATGATTCTGTGCAGAGGATAGAGCAGCCTGGTCGCTTTCAGTCTGCCTGAACTCGGAGGGCAAGTACAAACTGATCATAGGGGCTGGGTTCCGATCTGCTGGATGGCTCCCTGTCTCCCTTCAAATCAGCAGATGTGCCCGCATCTGCACCGCTTCTCTCACCGCTGCTGCTGTCAGTCGTTACTGAGAACAGCAATGTATGTGACCGCTCTGTCACTGAATTATCTGTATGGAGTGGTTGCCCTGCCACACCTTGAGACCGCTGGTACTCCGTCTCATCCTCCCACTCTGTATATCCGCCACATACATCATTACCAGGTGCCTCTCCAAGTCAGTCATGAACTCACTCATCTCCGTCGTTTCCTTCTCCTTCGTTCCCCTCGTCTCCGTTGCCTTCCTCTGCTGTTTCCCTCGGCCCTTATTCCTTCCTGCTTCCTTCTCTGATTCATATGCTTGCACCATTTCCGGATGAACCCTGCCAGCGCAACAACAACGTTTATTATATCCGGAAACAAGGACATCTCTTCAAGACAAGACAAAGGAGACTCCTGACGACAATTCCAACACCAACCACTTACCTCGTGAGCAGTTCTGCCCGAACAACCGAGTTTTCAACTTCAGGCTGCCCAGTCCATGAAACCTCAAACATTCTATGCCCAGCCACCCACCGCTCCTTCACTATGCCGCCCACCCTGTACCTCACTCCATCCAGCATCCCCCCTACTTCATCCGCTTTCCTGGAAGCTTCCTTCCCTGGTGTCACACAGATCTCCGCTGCCTGCCGCACCAGCAGCAA